AGGAGAGTCTCATTTTTAGAGGTTCTTTATGTCCCCAGAGGTACTGGTCCAGCACTTTGCACACATTGATTAATCAATGCAAACTGCTTCTGTTCCCATCCGACTGATAGCGGGCGAAGGCAGAGATGCTCTGTTCCAGCTGCCTCCATGGCTGTGAGGGCCAGAACACGCCAGATCGACGTCTCCCTTCTAGGTGCCTGACATCACTTACTTGCCTTTGATGCCCATCAGCCAAAAGACGTTGTTCATCTCTAAGCATGAATAATACAACTAAGCTGGATTTTTCCAGACAACCAAAGTGAGTTCTCTGAAGAGATGAGACTAGGCTGGCTAAGCCAGAGTTGGTGGCATATAGCGTGGGGGCCCCTGAGGGCTGTGCTCCCCTAAGGCAGGGTCGGAGGCACTTGATGCAAACTTGTCAGCTTTGCTTTCAGATGTGATGCGCCCCTTTCTAGAGCTATGAGGAGCAACAGAGAGTGTCCTTGACCTTCGCTTTCCCACTCCAAGACTGTATGAGTCACTCATTCATTCCTTGGGCCAATATTTATTGAGCACCTGCTCTGTAGCGAGGTTCTGTCCTAGGGATGCAGCACGGAACAAGATGGATGAGATCCTGCCCTCATGAGTGGGGAAGCTGGGCAATAGTAAGTCTTTAAAAAATTGAAAAGTCCAGACTGGGACAAGGGCCATGAGAGGGAGAGACAGGAAAGAAAGCCTCTTTGGGGAGTTCCCAAGAGAGGTGAGGCCCGAGGGGGAAAAGACCTGCTATGTGAAGACTAGGGTAGAGCATTCCAGACAGATGGAACAGAGTCATAAAGTCTGAGAGGCAGGCAAGGACATGGCACCCCAGAGGAACAGGAAAGAGGCCAGTGGGGCCAGAGTGGGTGGGAGATGTGAGAGGAGCAGAGTCAGGGGATCTTGCTCGCCAAGAGGCCTCGGGCTGCTTATTCACCTTCCTGAAAATCACCTCTCTTCTCCAAAGTGTGCTCCGCTTGTTCTGAGAACTCATCCTTGCTTAGCCAAATCCAATCCCTCTTCAGAAAGAAAAAGGAAGGGAGTTCTTTCTGTGGCAGGCAGGGCATCTGGCGAAGGCCTCCCGTGCGGATTGTGCCCACAACGACAGGCATGGATGAGAAGGGTCCCGGCGATGGGGATGGTGTGTGTGTGGTAGGGGGCCACTTCCGTGCCTGGGAGGGCTACCGGCTCCACACTGGAAGTCGCCGGCTCCAGGCTCAGCTGAATACTGCTCCCAGGAACTCATGAATAAGGCAACATTGGGCTTTGCCCTGCTCCTTTCAGACGCTTCTCTGCCCACTCTCACCCCTGATAGCTTCAGGGGTCTTTCTGGGCTTCTTGCCCTTACTTCTTTCCCTTTCACAACCGGAATCTCTGCCCTTCTCGGCAGCCCCATGGAATCATTAGCCTCTGGGATGCATGCAAGCTCCTCTTGTTTCAGGCAAAGTACGCAAGCAGAGAGGTCATATTCCGGGGCCTGCCTCTCTTTGTCCTCCAAAGGATGCCGAACAGGCGGCTGCCTGGTCAACCCGTCTGAGGGGCCCAGCTTGCTAATCAACCTCGCTGACAGGAGAAGTGTCCCTAGTTGACCCTTTCCAGTGGGACCATGATGAACACCTAGAATGTGCTCTGTTGAGGGTCCACCATGGCTACAGCAATTTTTAGAAAGTATCCTGGAACTTCAGTCCCGAGAAGCAATGCAGCCAACCCCAAGTTTGGGAGCTCAAAAAGCCTGATGTCTGGCTTCAGGATGGACCCGCTGCTAAACCACACCATCAGCATCTCTATCCCAGCATTCCCTTTGTTGAAAGGAGTTTTCCCTATATAGGATGGCTTCCTTCTCCGGCCTTCTGTGGTTCTCATTTGAAGAACATAAATCGTCAACACAGCTGCCATGGTCCAGCCCCGTCCTGGCCTTGAGCTCTGGCTAGCTCCTCTTTCTTCTTCCCTGCATTCCAGCCACACTGGCCTTTCCACCATTCCTTAGCAGTGCCACACTTCCTCATCCCATGTGACCTTGGCAGTACTCCTCCCTCCATCTGAAACACTCATCCCCCACCCAGTGGACCCTTGCCAGTCCCCCACATCTCAACCCAGGCATCACGAACTCACCAAAGCTTTTCCAGACCCCCTGACTGGGTCGGGTAGTGCATTTGCTTTCCTGAGACACTCAGGAGAAGTACTGCGTGATTGAGATCTGTGTCCCTATCTGGCCTCCGGCTTTCCTGAAGGTAGGGGCCACCCATTCCAGGCTCTGTTGTACCCCAGTGTCCCCCAACATGCTCCCTGGCACACAGGTGGTCTCCCACAGGGGAGTGGGATGGACCTGACATGGGCATGAACGACCCTCAAGTATCCCCCATCCCAGTCCCCACTCTCTCTCCTTTTCCTCTTCCTTCCTCTTTGTTTCTTTACTTTCCCTTCCTTCCTCCCTCCTCATCCTTGCTAGTCATTCCTTCTTCCTTCCTGGGACTTGGACCTGCCTGTGACTCCCATGAACAGTGTTGAAGCCAACAGAAGAACAGTTGTGAGTTAAAGAAAAGAGAACGCTGTCATAGCTTGGTATAACGTGTTGGCCTCAAACTAGATCACCCCAAACTCAGGGCCTGTGGGGAGAATGTAGGACTCTGGTTCCCACTGTAGTAGTCTGCTAGGCTCCCGTGGGAAGTACCACAGACCATGTGTCAAACAACAGAAGTGTATTGCCTTGCAGTCCTGGGGTCCTGAAGTCCAAAACCACGGTATCGGCAGGGCTGGTTCCTTCTGAGAGTGGTGTGGGAAAGAGCTGTCCCAGGCCTCTCTCCATCTTATAGATGGCTGCTAGCTCCTTCTGAGGCTGTAAGGGAGGGATCTATTCCAGGCTCTGTCCATGACCTGGAGATGGCCCTCTTTTCCCTGTGTCTTCATCTTTTCGTCATCCCTCTAGATGTGTCTCTGTGTCCCAATTTCCCCATTTTATAAGGTCGCCAGTCATTCTGGTTTAGGGCCCACCCTAATGACATCATTTAGACTTGATTTCCTCTGTAAAGGCGTCTCCAAATAAGGTCACATTCTGATATTCTGGGGGTTAGGACTTCAACATGCGAATTTAAGGAGAGGATATAGTTCAACTCATAACACCTGCCTTCCACCTGTCCATTGCCCCAACCCTTTTTGATTTATTGAAGGAGAAAAAAGTAGGGAAGCACAGGGACACATCATCTTCTGAAGAAGTTATGTGGGAGCCAGGGAATGGAAGCAGACGAGAGAGGAGTGTGAACCAGAGAAAGACACCCACGAGTGAGAAGGGAAAGGCTGACCTGACAAGCAGCTAAAACCCCAGCTGTCGCCTGGCCAAGGGGTTACATGCTGCTTCTCTGGTAATTGGCGTTCATACCCCAAATTAGCTGCTCACTAGCAGTGGGGCCTTTCCCCTCCCTTGTAACAGGCGGATAATGACCACACCTGACCAATGGGATAGCTCTGAAGACTGAGTGAGGAATGAGCATGAAGGGCTTGCCACTGTGCTGGGCACGTAATAACTCAGGGTGCAGCAGGTGTGGTGTGTGGTCCACCTCACTGCCAGTGGGGGGTGAGTCCCAGGAAAATGGCCATTCCGGAAGAAGGTGATGACAAGGAAGAAGCTGATGGTCACTGAGGCCAAATGACTCCATGTTCTTGTTCACAATAATGAAGAGAAAAGAACCAGAGTCATGGTCAGACTTCAGCTGTGGCCTATGGACCAAAGTCAGAATCACCTGGGCCCCACCCAGGAAATGTAGAATCCTGGGGCCCTCAGGAACCTGGCTAAATCAGGACTTCTGTGTGCAGGATCTTTACCTGATTTTTAAAACAAGCTCCCCTATGATTCTTATGCATGTGAAAGTTTGCAAACCACAGATCCTGAAGAGACAGAGATGAGTCTTGGCCAAAGGACCACCCACATCTGCACAGTCCTGGGGCAAGACGGGCATGCTCCTCAGACCTGCCCCCATCGCTAGCATTCCTTGGACAGATTCAGAGAGGTTGTCTTGAGCAACTGTGCATAAAGCCAGGCAGAGTACCTGGCACACGGTAAGGGCTCAGGAAACACTAGCAACCAACACAGAAGCCCTTCGATTTCTGAATGCTCCCGAGATGAAAGCAAAACCCATGCCAGAGCCAAAGCACTTCCATGCTGCCCCAAACATGGCCATAGTGGTCACTCATAGAGTCTCACTTTGGACTTTGGAACAAATGGACTTGTGGACAGCCTTTTCAGACCCACTTTTCAGTAATAACAATGGCAGATACTCACATAGTACTCACTATAAGCCAGGCACTGTGCTAAGAGCGTGACTCATTTGATCCTTTCACCAACAAGGATGGTACGTTATTACCCCATTTTACAGATGATGAAACTGAGGCATAAGGCCATGGGACTAATAAATAGCACAGTCTGAACTCGAACTCCAGGGAGCTCAGCTGCAGAATCTATGCACTTGGTCACTATGTTAGGCTGCCTCTCTTAAGTAGTCATATTTAGGAATCAGACAATTACTGTTCCCTTCCTTCTTCTTCTCTCCCTCTAGGCCACTGGTCCGATACTTGTCCTTGTCCCCTTGGACTCTGCCTCCCAGCTGTGTTGGATATCCTGTCAGCCCAGGCCCATTCTCTGTTCCCTGCCCACCCAGGTAGGTGCCCTCCCTCCTCTGTGGTTGAGTGGGCTTGATCCAGCAGTACCTTGAGGTGGGACACCTTGGCAGTACCCAATGAACATTTGTTGATTAGCGGATCCTTTTTTAAGGAAAAAAACTCATTCGCCTAGAATTTGTGTCATGTGTAGGTGTTAGATTTCCTAAAACAGGGTATGTCTGTGGCACCAATGACTGTAGATTATTTTTCTAGTAGCTTAAATCAAGGAGTGTTGCATTAGCCAAGCAACACCGATCTGATCAAGTGGAAGGGGCGTGCCTTCCAGTCCGCACCATCCCTGATTCCTAGAAGCTGGTACAGCAGGCCTGGTAGCACCATGATCCTCCATAGTTGATGCAGGGGCCACAGAATGCATGTCAGCAGAGTCAGTGAGCACAGCCCCTGTCCTGGGATCAGGCATCCCTTCACTAAGGATAGAGGAGCATATGATGTCCCTCTACCGTCACCACTGCAAATACAGTCATCATGGTTGATGCTCCTGGCCTGTGACGTCACACCATCGAATGAAGGAGAGTGCCTCCTTAAATCCTTTTCGCAACCAGGTAAAAGCCATATATGTATGTCTGCACACCAGATTTGGGAGGCAGTTTACAAGAAACTCCATGTTTCCTCCCTTAATTTTTTTGTGCATTAACTTCGCTCTGGATTAAGTACCTCACTTGCCAATCCATTTACTCACACTAAAAAAGGCAGGGTCAACAGAAGAAAGTCTCCAGCATGCGCCAGCCGCCCTCAGCAGCAAGTTGATGATCTTGCCTTCGGATATATAATCTCAAAAGGGGACTTTCCTCAGAAGCCCTCAATGAGCAACACAAGGAAAACAAAGGAAAAGGGAATTTGTGACTGTGAATCACAGTCTCCACCAAAATCCACACTCATTCACCCAGACAGCTCCTCACTGGACACCACTTTGCAATGCTAGGCTCATGTCTTTTCAACCCTCTGCCCCCGTCAGGCCGGCTCAGCCCCACACAGTGCCCGGCTCGTCCTCTGCCGGATGCTTGCATCTCCCACTGGTGTGCGCTGAGCTAAGTCATAAACAATCACATCCCTGTAGGGAATGAAAGGGAAAGTGCCCAAGCAGAAAAGAATGCAGAAAAGTGGGGGTGGATTGAAACAGCTGGAGAAAGCACAGAGTGTTTACATTCTGCCGAGTCACGGAGGGAGCTCTTGGACCCGAGTGCCCAGATGAGGTGGGTTCCTCTGGGGTCTCTGAAAAATGGGTACTTGATTGAATGCCTGAATTCTACCCCAGACCTGGAGGTCTGAATTTGTCAGGTGCTCCTGTCTAGAAGCCTTGAACACTTTGGGCACGTAATCGTGACGTGGGTGTGGCTAGCCTTTCACCCACCTTCTCTGCGGGGCCTGTCTGCAGGGGTACGGAGAGGAGGAGGTGATTTTCTGAGAAGATCAGAAGGAAGGTAAGGAATAATCCAGGTGGCTGGGAGGGCCGTCAGAATACCAGCCTATCCTATCGCATTCTGCTAATCCTATATTTCAGCCTGACTTTCATACGAAAGTGTTGATAAAATCTCAGGTGCCCACCCAGTGAACAGACTTCCTGAGGCAGCTGAACGTCCAGGCTCCCCCAGAGGGTGAGTGTGCCAGCCAGACTCACTAAAGCCACACAGATTTTGGCTTCTGCCGAACCAAAAGGGCCACATCCAGCACTTTAGTAAATGAGAACATTCTGCCCCCTCCAGTCCTCACCAGCCTGGCAGTGCAGGGAGGAAGGTGCTGGGCAGCATGGTGCATGATTGCTTTTACAGTCTCTAAACTAGGTGCTATTTTTACCTGCCTGTGCCATCAGCAAGCCCTTCCCCCAGAGCAGTCTGCAGCACGGTTTAAACCCAGCTAGAGGGGAGCTTCTGGGTGCCCTTGCAGGACAGCTGGTTCCAGTGGGATCTGCTTCAAACATCCTACTGCCTTAACTTTTCCCGAGTTTTTTTTCCATCTCCGCATCATTGTTGTCCTTGCACTGGGACACGCGCACACACACACACACACACACCCCCTCAGCTTTGCATATAAGCTGCTCTTTGTTCCCTAGAACAAATACTCAGATTCTTACCTGAAAAACTTGCAGGCTGAGGACGGTGCCTCTTCGTCCAAGGGGAAAGGGAATCGGCCGGGTGTCGTCCGCTCTGTGTCGCGGTCACTGTGGCGCCCCTGCTTCCCCAGCAGCCCCACACCGGCTCTCTGGACTTCTCGGTTGCTGCAGCTCTGTGTGGGGAGAGGGGACGGGCCGTGGCATGCACATCAGGTTGCTGGTCCGCCTCCAGACACCATGCCACAGAGCCGGCCACCAGTCCCGCGGGGCTGTGTGGGAAGCAGGGAGGCAGGCTGGGGGGCCAAGAATGTCAGCCTCTGGGTCTCTCGCTGGCCTTGTTGGTCAGCAAAGGGGACCTGCCTTTAGACAACAGCCCACGCGGACCCCACCCACAAGGACATACACAAAGCTCTGCGTGCCCCCAGCTCTGACTCCAGCTGCAGGCCCAGGAATGCAGAGCTATTGGCCGGCCGGGAAGGGAGGCAGAGACAGCGGCAGCAACTGTCCTGGCTGTTATTTTAGCGTGGTTTGTGTTGGGGCAAATGGCTGAGCCGAATGGACTACTGGCCTGTCTGAGCAGAATCCTGTTTATTTGGAAGTCTCCGTCGCCAGGGAAACAGCAGGTCGTGGCTCAGAGACGCTCCTCTGGAATCAGAAGGCTGCTGGATGAAAGAGTCCCTTTCTGTTCTGTCACCTGGCATCTCTACACAGGGTGTTGGTGTCTGTGTGTGGCAGAGTGTGTGTGTGTCTGTCTGTGCCATTCCTAGAGCCACGCCTTGCAAAGGGCATGTTGCAAAGCCACTCGAGGCAATGGCCATCCAGGCTAGGGCTGGAAGGGGCTGCAGAGCAAGCGTTTCTGTCATCCCTTACCCGTGGTCGAGCCTGTCACTGCTGAGCTAGGCAAACAAATCCTCAGGTGAGCCCAGCTCTAGGGGCGGGGATTTTGTTAAAGGACCTCGGGCATCATCTTTATGCCACTGGCCAGGACAGAGTGAGGAAGGGAGGAAGCCGCCTGGCTAGAAGGTAGGGAGTGAAGCTGGAAATTGGACTGAGAGGATATAGATCAGGAGGTATCTTTGAAGAGACTAAATGGAAACATGATTAATAGTTTCCTATAATGGATGAGAGTCCCTCCTCCTTAGGTAGGCATTTGAGCCTGGGAGGGGTGAGTGTGTGTGTGTGTGTCTAAGCCTACCCACCGATGATTCAGGTGGACCTGTGAGAACTAGAAATAAGCTCTCTGTTCTCCACTTCCCCTTGGAAGGTGGAGGTGGAAGCCTGGTCTCCAAATGCAGCAGGTAGCTTCTGATGCATTCTGAAGGTAGCATCCACGGAGCCATATTTGTGCCTTCTGAGGGGATGAGTCTCAGAGAAGCTCATCCCCTGGGACAGAGACCTAGAAGCACACACATCACTTAAGTCTAGTAATGGGTGAGCCGCAGCTCTCCTGAAAGGGACTTGAAAAGTACAGAAAAAGTCGTTTTCACCAAATTTTATTACCTGGAACCTCCATGAACTGCCATGTACACTATTCAAAGGCACTCATAATTGGCTTTAAAACATAATAATCTTCCTGAGGATCTGAACATTGCCAAAGAACAAGTCAAAGGCAACGGACAGTTCTGAACAAACACGGACATGATTTGATTTACCTTTCGGCAGGATCCCTCTGGAATGAACTATAGAGGGTTAGGGTAGAAGCAGGAAAATCAACTAGGAGGATATTCCAATAACCCAGGAAAATGGTGCTGGTAGGATCACAGAGAGATAACAATGAGCAGCTGCTCATTTAGCATCCACAGGACTCCAGATCCTCTACAGACCATGTAACAAAACCCGTCTCTTCCCTCAAAGCTCCTAGACTACTTTTAAACAATTTCTGCAGTGGTTACAACCTGTATGCAGGCCTCCTAGCACTGCAGAGGGTGGGTCTGGGAGAAGAAGAACATAACAATTTGCAGGACCCACAGAAACCCTAGGAGAAGCCTGGTAGGTTTATCCACAGAGGTGTGGCTGTGGCCAGAGTCGTCCACACCTAAAATGTTGTGGCTGATTCCGGAGGTGAGATTTTTCCTTCTGCATCCTAAGAGATTGACTCACAGTGGAGCCCTTGAGCAGTTGCTCGTAGAGGAAGTGGTTCTAAACCTCTTCTAAGAGGCGTAGCAGGGTGATAAAGGTAGATGTAGCATTGCTGTGCTTTTACTTATTCTGTACTCCGTGCCTCTGAAAATCAGACGTCCCTGGTTAATTTCACCAACATGACAGCAGAACCAGAGCATGACAGAATCAGCAGAATTCAAAATGCCCCCCAATAAATATTCTTCCTCTCCAGGCATAACCTACAAGCGATGGCTTCTTTTGCCTTGAATCTTTTTTTTTTTTTTTTAAGATTTTTTATTTATTTAACAGAGAGAGACATAGCGAGAGCAGGAACACAAGCAGGGGGAGTGGGAGAGGGAGAAGCAGGCCTCCCGCTGAGCAGGGAGCCCGATGCGGGGCTCGATCCCAGGACCCTGGGATCATGACCTGAGCCGAAGGCAGACACTTAACGACTGAGCCACCCAGGCACCCCGATAATAAACTTTTAAGAGTGGTAACTGCTATTGATTATTCTTGAGGGATCATCTGCCCCTCCCCTTTATTATTTATTTATTTATTTATTAAAGATTTTATTTATTTGACAGAGACACAGCGAGAGAGGGAACACAAGCAGTGGGAGTGGGAGAGGAAGAAGCAGGCTTCCCACTGAGCAGGGAGCCCGATGCGGGGCTTGATCCCAGGACCCTGGGACCATGACCTGAGCCGAAGGCAGATGCTTAACGACTGAGCCACCCAGGCGCCCCTATTATTTATTTATTTTTATAGATTTTGTTTATTTGACACAGAGAGAGAGAGCACAAGCAGAGGAAGCAGTAGGCAGAGGGAAAGGGAGAAGCAGGCTCCCCGTTGAGTAGAGAACCTAACGTGGGATAGATCCCAGACCCTGGGATCATGACCTGAGCTGAAGGCAGACGCTTAACGACTGAGCCACCCAGGCGCCCTTTTGCCTTGAATCTTGAGGCTGATAGTCAGTATTTGCTTTAAAAACTTCCCCTTTGTTCGTCCTGTTTACATAAATGATGTAGTTATTTGAAACATAGCAGACACACTGCATTTTCTTTCTAATTTCATTTGACCTTGTTGGGACACGACAGAGCCTAATCAGCTGACAGGAGAAATCAGATGCTGCATTATACTCCCTCCCCTAGCAAAGTATTTCCTTCTGTTTATGCCAAATCATGCAATTAAATGAAGGGCATGCTGGCCTCATGGTGAACCAACTGCCAGGATGTGGGGGGAGCGATTTGACAAACAGAGCAGAGAAAAATGCAGCAGACATTCACAGGAAATTGCATGAGTTGCCCGAGGAGACCCGAAAGCCACAAACATCATCAGAGCTGCAGGACAGAAACAGGGCCCCGTGGTTCTCAAGCAGGCGGTAGCCTGATCCCGTCATAATCCAAGAGCAGGAGCTCAGCCCGTGGTCGCCTGTCTCTCCAGCGACTCCAGGAGCCCGTGCTTGGGAAGGACTCTAACCCACGTGGGCTTCCTCTCTCTGATATTGATCACCCATCACCTATTCTGTTTTATGTTTTCCTCGATCTCAGTTTTTCCATTTTTATTTTAAAATATTTTATCTTTACATAAAAGTAATGCTTCACACACATGACCAAAATGCATGACATACAGTAGGCTATAAAATGACCCTCACTAATCTCCTCTGAGGAGAAACTGGGGAGTTTTCCTGGAAACTCTGGGGGGAAATGGTTTCATCCATCTGAATGTGTATATGCTCAAAAACAATTTACTAGGTCCAGTGTCCTGCATTATTGTTTGGTTTTCCCTTAATAATAGATCTTTGCACATTTGTCTAGTCCATCCAAGCACCATTTTCCTGGGTTATTGGAATATCCTCCTAGTTGATTTTCCTGCTTCTACCCTAACCCTCTATAGTTCATTCCAGAGGGATCCTGCCGAAAGGTAAATCAAATCATGTCCGTGTTTGTTCAAAACTGTCCGTTGCCTTTGACTTGTTCTAAGAACAAAAGCTAAGCTAGCTCCCTCCACCTGCTTCCCTAATTCCACCAGCTATAAACTCCTTGCTCACTGTGTTCCAGTCATACTACTCATCTAGGCCAAACACAGTCCTGCCTCAGGACCTTTGCATCTGCTATTCCCTCTACCTAAAATGTACACATTTATTTTCTGCCCCTCTTTGCACAGCCAGCTATAGCTTATCATTCTTATCTCATTTCAGATTGCCTCTTCCCTGACCACTGGCTCTAAATCAGCCCCCATCACTGTCCTTCATATCCCCCTGCTTTCTTTTCCTTCATAGACCATACTGCCATCAGAACATTGTCATATTCAGTTATTTGCTTACTTGTTTCCTGTCTCCCCTACCACACACATTGGAATGTCAACTCCAAGAGGAAAGCAGGGATTTCATCTGTCTTTTCACCATTACATCCCTAGATGTATCTAGACCAGTGGTTCTCAAACATGGATGTGCATCAGAATCACCTGGAAGGTTTATTAAGACACAGATTGCTGGGCCCTGACTCCAAAGCTTCTAATTCAGGAGGTCTGGGGTGGACCTAGAAATCTGCACATCTAACAAGTACCCAGGTGATGGTGAAACTGCTGGTCCAGGGACCACACTTTGAGAAGCCCAGTCTAGACCATGCCTGGCATGCATCGGGTGTGGCATATGTATTTAGTACATGAATATATGAGTCTACACACACACACACACACACACACACAAGGGTCTGCCACCGTCTTTGTCATGGCAGTTTCATTTCCACTTGATCATTTATATTGAGGACCGTAAGCCTCCTCAAATTCTTTGTGACAGAAGGTCCCAAGTTTTGTCAGCTAAAATGATTTAGCTCCACTGATCTGTCAGCAGATGAATAAAAACGTCAAGTTTTCTAGGCCCAGGGAGAGCCCGTGAGAGTTACCTCTTGTTCTCTGCCTCAGTAAGCCGTCAAACCAAAAGGTGGTACAGCTCTCACTAGACATGTGACAAAGAACTCTCCCAGAAGTAATCGCTCAGGCCTCCCCTGTAATTGTTTAATAATTGTCCTCTTGGCTTAGATTCAGCCTCGTGCACTGGAACATACAGGCATAGTCTACCTGGACCCCAGGTTATGAAATGTAGAGTTCAGTGGTTTTTTCTGTGAGTCACAAAACCCCTGAGAATATGACAAGATCTATAACCCTTTCCCCCTCAAAAATGAACAGACACACACACACACACTTTTTTTATATTCTTGCAAGTTACAAGATACCCCAAGTCCATCGTAACCCCAAATTTAAAACTCCTGATTTAATAACTGGCTATCTGTTTGGCAAAACAAACAAAAACTCAGTTGAGTACTTAAACGTAAGAAGACAAACCTTAGGGGAAAACATTAGTTAAGTTCTATAAGATTTATAATCTTAGAATGGAGAATGCTTTTTGAAGCCTGACTTGAAACCCAGAAATGAAAACAGAATAGTGAGATCGATTCCATAAAATTGTAAATAATCCACATGGGAAAGAGGGCGTCAGAACTCCTCCTCATGTAGTCTCTGTGGAGAAATCAAAGGATCCAGTCTTTTCCATCTGTATCCCTGCCCCTGAGATTGTCATGGCCGAGCTCTGCGGGAGAAGACCCGAGCTGATCAAAGCCCCCGGGTGAGACCATATCCTTCAGGGCAGCCCTGTCACTGGGTTCATTCTTTCATTAACCATGGTTTGGGTTTTGAAACAAGTATGAGATAGAATTCACATGCCATACAGTTCACCCATTTAAAGTAAACAGTCAAATGGTTTCAGTGTATTCACATGGTTGTGCAACCATCACCACTAATTTTAGAACATTTTTGTCATCCTGTAGAAGCAACCCCATACACAGTAGCAATCACTCCCCATGCCCCCCTCCTGCCAGGCCTAGGCAACCACTCGTCTGCTTTCTGTCTGAAATGGTGTCATACAGTACGGACTTTTTTCCCTTAAAAAGCATAATGTCTTCAAGGTTCCTCGGTGTTATAGAGGAACTTCATTCCTAGTTCTTGCTGAGTAATATCTCATTGTCCGGAGATGCCACATCTTATGTACCCATTCTCCAGCCTGTGGCCGTGTGGCTTGTTTCACTGTTTGGGCTATGACAAATAATGCTGCCCTGCACGTTTCTGTACAGATCTGTGTAGTTTTTGTGCGAACGTATAGTTTCATTTCTGTTGGGTCTAACAGCGCTTTTTCTCTTAAAGACTTAGCCAAAGAATTTTACTTATCCTATATGATTCTTTTGTCTTTAACTGTTTTCTGCAATAAACTTGAGAAGTGAGCAGGCTTGGACCCTGAGACCTCAGAGCTCTGCTAGCCCCAGTCTGGGCTCTGTGTAACCTCCGTGTAACCCGGGACCGGACTCAGTCTCACCGTGCCTCAGTTGTGAGAACGCTCCCGCTCTGACCCTCCCACGGGAACTTGGGAGGATTAATGAAATCAGTCAAGGAGGCTCTGCTCTTGAGAAGATGCTAACCCATATGAATAGGTCAGTGTGTGTCAAGAAAACCGCTTACCCTCAAAGCAAGCGCCTCGCGGGCCCCACAGGTGACAGCATCAGACAAGAGGCCAGTGGCTGGACGCTCGAGGCACAGGCAGTACAAAAAATACTTACCATTTTCTCAAGATGTTGGTTTCCTCCGAGATCAGAATTTGGTTGCTTTCCAAATCCTGCAAGCTACCCTCTGAAGGTAGAAATGTCAGGGCCATCTACGTAATGATGGGCAGCCAGAAGGGCAAGCTTAAATTCTAAAGCCCACTTGCCAGCTCACATTTCCTGAACGACTGCTCTCCCTTCATTTAATAGAAAAAATACCTCACTCTCTACAGAGCCCCAGAGGTATCTTGTTTGGGGAAATCCATGTGCCCCTGACTTTCTTTTTTGGCTTTGGGGTCGGTGAGTGTCTCCTCAGCCCTGGGTACAGTCTAATAAGGACCCCCCTATAAAGGCACTGGGAGCCCCACTGGCAGAGGATGGGTCCAAAATATCCAAGCTGACTCATGCCCTTTGGCCAGTCACCGGTGTTCCTTGGTCTTTAAAATCAGTCAGCCGGCAGCTCCCCTGATAAGCATGTCAGTGACAAGTTTAATAGGAAATGAGATGGGTTCCAACTCCCATGTCACCGCTTACTAGCTGTATGATATGGGACAAGTAGCTCAGTTCTCTGAGACTCAGTTTCCCCATATGTTAAATGGGGATAATGACAATACTTGTAGGATCATGGGGAGAGTTTCCTGAGATGATGCCCATGAGGGCAACACACAGTTCAAGCTCAATCTATGTCTGCTATAGTTATATCATATTACTTTTAAAATAAAAATACAGGATTTCAAGTTACCGAGCCATCCTCTCTCAGGTATTTGGGGATGCTGGATTTCTATTGGTCACTTAATTGGGCACCTGCTAGGTATCAGACACCACAGAGAGAGCTAGAGATGAAATCTAATTCCCCCCAGGAATGTAAAATTCAAGCTGGGAGAGAAAGTAAGATACAGTAAGCGTTACTAGTGACTGTCATTGCTGTCCAGATTCAGGGTGGGAGACAGCAGAAAGCCTGGATGGGCCTGGGCAGGCCTCAGAGGGGAGGCAGCCCAGAGGCTGGCCCTTGAAAGACAAGATGGGTTCACATCAGTGGAGCAGAGGGAGACCCAAGTGGGCAGGGGTGGGTGAGGGGGAAGGGGAGATCCGTGTGCGCACAGGCAGGTTGGGGCCCTGGGTGGGTCTTGGCGTGGTGAGTTGTCCAGGGACTGAGCCAGAGGCAAGCCTTCTGGTGGCTTTTCCACGGTCTGGGGTCTCTAGGAATGAGATGCCATGGGGTCTTTTAGTCACTTCTGATAATTATCCTTATTATGAGACTTGCTGTCACTAATTTTGTGGACTGTAAGAGAGAGGAGGAGGAGTTATGTTGGAGGAACTTGAACTCTTAATCCAGATCATCGCAAAAAGAGCAACACGGAGTGGCCCGCGTTGACCATGGCCGCCCTGTATCCAGCCCCCTTTCCTAGGACTAGCACGCTGGTTATCTCTGGGGACCCAGCCCTTCATTGCGTTCAGTCCGTGTGGTTTTGGGTGGGGATGACTACACCCCCGTGGCAGGGATGGGCACGGTGCCCACATTGGTTCAGAGAGATGTGACTCTGAGACTCTAGACTCTTGGGAATGGGAAGTGGCTGTTCTTCTAGGGTGGCTGAGCCAGGAGGGTGTCAGCCTGGAGCCGCTGGTCGCCATTTCACCACTGCCGTCGGCGAGTCTTCCTGGGATAGAATGACCCAGGGCTGCAGAGCCGAGAAGTGGAGTCAGGATGCCATCATCTGGGCACCTGGATCCCGCCATACCAGAGCCTTTTCGCTTACACGAGGAAACAAATTTCCTTGTTTTGGCCCAAGTCTCTTCAAACTGGTTTCCAGTCTACTGTCGCTAAAAGCATCCTGATTCATTGGAGTAGTTACCTTGCTCCCACCTACATTTTGTTGACTTCTTCTTAGCATAGATATTTGTGGTCCATAGTCAAGGGGGTTAGTGTTAGGCATGTGCAAGTGATGGTGACTTCTGCACACATCCCCATACGGGCACAGGTACCTTCATGTGCTTGGGAGGGGAAACCAAGACTCTGCGAGATTTGTCTTCTTTGTCCTGTGACTCTGCCTACGAGCAATTCTCCCCAAACCCTCCATTTTATTCCTCTTGTTCTCAGCCAAAGAAACGAGGCTCTGGTAAGTATATTTTGCAGCGTTCTAAGAAGCCAGGATGAGGTGTGGAAGGCGTGAGGGGGAGGAAGCTCTGCACATCCCGTAAGTGTTTTTTCCCTTTTGCCCAATAATAAGGAATGAGCTGACGTCCTTTTATTTCCTATGTCATGCAGGGCTTTTTGAAACTAAGCATTAATTCTACTGTAATGGGATTTGTCTAATGATTTCTTGGAAAACATCTTCTTGGATCTCAGCAAAGATAATTCACTTGGTGGGAATCATTTCCTGCTTCCCCGCTAAGAACTAGACCTAGCCAGCTCTTTCTGGGAGCAAATTGGCCTTAAATGAGAGGAGAGAGGACAGGTATTTGAAGCTAGCCTCCTTCACGGAGACTGCAGCCTGCCACGGTCCCAGGTCAGGGCGGAGAAGAGGCAGAAGCAGGTCAGGGGAGAGCATTCGTGCTGGACAGGAGCATGAAGCCAAGCATAACATCTGCAGTACTGAGCCCCTCGGGGAAAGGAATGCACTCACCTCTTTGCTTTGGCTCTGAGGCACTTTCTTTCCGGGGTGGGGGTGGCGGGCAAGGCCTCAGCAGGCTACCCAGTCCACACGGAGCTAGCCGGAGCTAGCAGGCAGGCCGCTGCGGGAGGGAGTTCCCATTCTCCATCAGAAGGGAGTGTCCTTCCCCAAAAGGAGGCGAGGCCGTCATTCCCCTGGAGTCAGGCTGTTGGTTCGACTGGCTCGCTCATCCTCTCTTTCCTGCTCCCTCTCCCATGTGAATGGAGCTCAAGGGAGTCCTAAGAGGAGGGCTGAGTGCAAAGCACGCACCACACCCGCCCTGATACAGGTTGTTTTCCCAGCCCCAAAAGCCCGAAGACGGAGGCAGCTGAGTATGCTGGGAGGCCACCCCCCCACCCCGGGCCTCCAGCAGTGCGGCTGATGCTGGTGTACCCACAGAAAGCCCAAGGACAAGCACTTGCGTATTTATTTCTCCCCTCTCATGTGATCTTATTTTTGGACGGAACACAAAAGCTATTTGGAGGCTGGATAGCTGCCAGGTGAAAGGACCGGTATCTTATCCAAGTTGTCTCCATGCCTCTCGCTGAACTAGTCCCTGTTACCTTTCCCTGTATAAGGCGGAACTCTGGGGGCCTTGCTCTGGACCTGACTTTTCATATATCCCAGCAATTAGTCCCAATTACTAATTTTAGGTCAGCTAGTTCCGCACCCGCCCCCCCCCCCATGAGGTTTCACAGAGGATACATATAATGAGCAATGCCATTACTTTTCTGTCTGAGGCCGGTGGACCTGTCATACGGTCAACATAGATATGGCCGCCACATACACACTATCTTAGACATCAAGACCCTCTTCTCAGTACCGGCTGGGACCTTCAGGCCTGGGAGGCCGTCAGGAGCAAAGTGCAGGAACAGAGCCAGCCTGTAGCATGGAAGCGCCCTGATTCCCCGCTCCCCCAACCCTGCTGTTTCTGCTTCTAACTCCTAGGCTTATGGAACTTAAAACCTTTTAATGGCTTGGTTTTTCACCTCCGATTTTTCCTCTTCAGACATGAATGGAAAGTTCTGAAACACTCATGCCTGACAAATGCTGTATCATCATCTTCACTATCATCACTGTTAACTTATTAAGCTCTTGCTACATGCCATTCCTATGCTGAGCCCTCTCCCTGCGCTGGCTCATCTCTCCTGCTGGCAGCCCTCTGTGGAAGGGACTGTGGTTCCGATGGACAGCCCGAGAAGCAGGGGCTGGGAAAGGTGGGCTTGCCGAGGAGAGATCCAAGCCCTCCTCATCTGTCTGATTCCAGAGCAGGAGCGTTTGGCCCCTTTGCTTACTGTCTGCTGAGCTATAAATTACTGAGATTTCACTCTTGTTTTCATTTCCTAAGAGGAAAATAAAAAATCCTCACAGTTGATTCAGACACATGACTTCACTCCTCAATTTCTTTCCTAAACCCAGTTCTTGAAGCAGAGAAAGAGGTTTTCATCTGTTTACAGTCCCAGACCCTGATTCTAGATACAGGAGGGAGACTCTCTAGCCTCCATTCTCCTGGGAGCCGGTCTCCTATGGCTAATTCACCGTGCGAACACATGCACACCAGACAGGACTGGGCCAGGCCGCCCCTGCCGGGCTCCCTACTGCATCTAGGTGGAATTGGGCTTTCCTCTCCGGAAAAGGAGAGTGCCAGTGACAGTCCATCAGCTTGTCCAACACTGACCCCTTCGGGCCACTATGCTGCATTACTCCCAGGATGGTGGTCAAAACTTCAAGGGGCAATTTTTAATTTAATAATCAAGGGATTATTTTTAGAGAATTGGCTTCCATTTTCTCAGTTTCTCTAAGCACCGTTTCCTCAAACTGATTTGCCTGAGAAGGTGTCTGTGTTGGTAATAATCCTTCCCCTACTGGAAAGCATACCCCTCACTCCACAAATCTTACTAAGGGGCAGTTGCTCCAAATATAAGTATCTCCAGGTCCACGTTCCCCAAACTGGAAACTTCCTTTACTAATTTAATTCAGCTTCCTTTCATGGTTAATTAAGGCATTTTTTTGTATGTAACAAAACTCTCTTCCATTCCTTGATTTTAAAAGAAAGCACTGTGAAGGCAAATCATAGGGAATATTAGAAATAATAAGAGATTAAGAGGTATATTTAAAGAATGATGGCACAGCTTAATTTTTCATTCCCAATATTTACACTGTGCTGGAAGTTATTCTCTTGAAGCCAAATGAACCCAATGATGAACATGTAACATATCAACTTTAAAATGTAGGTATAGGTAACATTTTTCAGAATTGTTTCAGAAGGCACAGAACACAGATGGTTGAAGATCATTGTACCCTGAGCTAGCCGTGGCTGACTGATAACAAACTGTTGTCCGTCCATCCAACAGAATTGAGCACCTACTGCATGTCAGGCATTGTTTCCAGCACTAGATGGAAACATCATGAGCAAAAACCAACATGTTACATGCCAGATTCTTTTTTTTTTATGTGTATTTTTTTTATTTTATTCTTATGTTAATCCCCATACATTACATCATTAGTTTTTGATGTAGTGTTCCATGATTCATTGTTTGTGCACAACACCCAGTGCTCCATGCAGAATGTGCCCTCCTCAATACCCACCACCAGGCTAACCCATCCTCCCACCCCCCTCCCCTCTAGAACCCTCAGTTTGTTTTTCAGAGTCCATCGTCTCTCATGATTCGTCTACCCCTCCGATTTCCCCCGCTTCATTCTTCCCCTCCTGCTACCTTCTTCTTCTTCTTCTTCTTCTTTTTTTTTTTCTTAACATATATTGCATTATTTGTTTCAGAGGTACAGATCTGAGATTCAACAGTCTTGCACAATTCACAGCGCTTACCAGAGCACATACCCTCCCCAGTGTCCATCACCCAGTCACCCCATCCCTCCCACCCCACCCCCCACTCCAACAACACTCAGTTTGTTTCCTGCGATTAAGAATTCCTCATATCAGTGAGGTCATATGATACATGTCTTTCTCTGTTTGACTTATTTCACTCAACATAATACCCTCCAGTTCCATCCACGTGGTTTACATGCCAGATTCTTACTTGTGGCTACCTCTGGGGAGCTGAGTGAGGCAAAGTGCTTAATTTAATAATTACCCAAATAACCCTAAAATTCAACTTTGGTAAGTACTACTAAGGAGGGGCATTTGGTGAGTAGAGAATGTGGAATGGAGACTGACAAAAAGTAATGAGGGTGGACCCATTTCATGAAGGAAATGGCAGGGAAGGTGGCCCTAGGGAAAGGATGTCTGGACCAAGAACATAGATTCTCTATGGAAGGACTCTGAGAACCCAAGAAGAAGGGCCCTGGTAGTATGGCAGCATCAGAAGAAGGAGGATCAACCTCTATAGAGTAGGTTGTTTTGAGAAAGGGCCTTTTCCTTTACACAAGTACAACCCATGTTATAAATTCATGGTTCTCAACTGGGAGTGATTTATTTCCCAGGGGACATTTGGCAATTTCTGCAGACAGAGTTGGTTGCTGCAACCGGGGTGGCGCTAGTGACTTCTAGAGGGTAGAGAGCAAGTTGCTGCTAAACATCCTACAATATATAGGACAGCAGCCCCCACGACAAAATGTACCCTCCAAAGTCCGTAGTGCCGAGGTTGAGAAATTCTGTTATAGATGAGGGCAGGGCAGGCCCGACACCCGTCTGCAGTGGATGTGGATCCATTTGTTCATTCATTCAACAAATACTTAGTGAGTGCTCGCTATGCTCGAGACCCTACTCTGGGTTTACCTGAGGCATACCCTTAACGAATATTGTCACCTCAAACGGCCAGCCTAGTTGTACTCCTGTGACGCAGCCTAAGATTGTCACCATCCAGATAGTGGCAAAATTGGTCTTACTGTCTGTAGCAAGAAGAGATAACAAGGTATGGACATTATCAGTAAGATGGTCACTGAGGCATTGGAACAGTGGAAACAACCTAAATATCCGTCAGTAGGGGAATGGTTACATAATTCTAGCACAACCATATATTAGCGGTCCAATCAAAAGGAAAGAAAGAAAAGATGACACAGAAAATAACCATGAAGATATTATTAATGGGGAAAAAATTTTGGAATAGTGGGTAGGGTATGACTGATGTGATTTATGTTTTTAAATTGGTTTATGCGTGTGTTTGCATGTGCATGCAAGGACTGGAGAAATTGTCACCAAATTCTAATAATGGCTATCTCTAGGAAGTGGAAAAATAACCCTGGAACGTGTTCAGTGAGAATAGCCCTCTGCCTGATTTCCTCCTTTCACATCAGTTAGATTCTCTCCAGTTTATCATCTCCAATACCAGCAATATTCAACCAGTCACCAACTTGTGGAGATCCTTCAACTTCCAGGACAGTATCCATTCCTTATTGTTAAATCCAAAGCCCTTCCAAACTTGCTTCCAGCCAGTCTACTTAGGGCTCTTCTTGTTTGCTGCTGTCCTTTACCAGCCTTGTTCCCACCCCCACCTCCCTGGAGCTTCAGCCATAGTGGATTCCTGGGAATTCATCAGGCCATACTCTTTCAAGATAGGCTCACCTCTGTGCCTGAAGAACAGTCCTCCATTTTTTATACCTGTATTAGTCAGGATAGACTAGGTTATACTGTGGTTATAATTAATCCCCAAATGTCAGTGACTTAAAATAACAAAGGTTTATTTCTCATTAATGAACATCAACTTGTCCCTTTTCAGGTTGGCTGGGGAACTCTGCTCCATATCATCCTTAATCAAGGACCCAGAGCTCAAGGAGGCCAAGGAACCCCAGAACTCTGCTGTCAGGAAGGAAAAAGGAGATACCTTTACTAATACACTAGCACCTAGAAGGTACTTCTGTTCACATTTCACTGGCCAAAACAAGTCCTATGGCCACACCTAACTTAAAATGAAACGGAGAATTTCAATCCTATTATTTTCTTGGAAGGTAGAGAGCAATAAATATTTGAGGAACCCGAATTCTGTAATTGTTCGGTGCAATATTCAATATATGTCCATTAAATCATTTGCTAATCATGTTCAAATAATCTGTATCCTTACTCATTTATCTGCTCACTTCATCCTGTGGTTTTATCAATCTTAGCTTCATATTTTAAAAAAATTATTTGTGTATTTGAGAGAGAGAGAGAGCAAGCAGGGGAGAGGGGTAGAGTGAGAGGGAGAGAGAGAATCTCAAGCAGACTCCCTGCTGAGCACAGAGCCCAATGCAGGGCTCGATCTCATGACCCTGAGGTCATGACCTGCACCAAAATCAAGAGTCAGGCACTTAACTGATTGAGCCACCCAGGGGCTCCTTGGCTTCATATTTTTAAAGCTACATTATAAGACGTGTACAAGTTTTATAATCACTGTGTCTTCCTTGTGAATTGAATTTTTTATTATTATGATGTATCTTTTTTTAGCTGTAGTAATGATTTTTGCCTTAAAATATAATCTGATATTAACATATACTATTAATATTAATATAATTTTGGTTAATATTTACATATTTTCCACCCTTTTAACATTTTTAAAATTAATGTTTAAGATGTGTTTCTAGTTAGTATGTAGATTTTTTTATCCAGTTCAATACTCTTTCACTTTGAAGTATTTTGTCCATTGACATTTAATGTAATTACTGATATATTTGGATTTAAATCTGCCGTCTTATTGTTTTTATTTGTCCCATATGTCCTACATTCTTTTTGTCCTCCTCTCTTTCTTGTTTTGGTGTGGTCAAATATTCTATATTTCTCTCTATTACCTTGGAAGTTATACGTCTTTTACTACTCTTTTAGAGGTTATTCTAGATAACAATATGTGTCATTGACTTATCAAAGTCTAATGTTAATTGGTATTTTTATCTTCTCCCACAGTAATACAAGGATCTCAGGCCATTTTAATTTCATTTACCCCTCCCTTCTGATTTATATGTACTTGTTATGTATTTAAAAGGTTTAAATCCCCAGTGGACATTGTTATGTTATTTTGTATAGTCTAATTCATTTGGATTCTTCAAATTAGCTTTTGCATTGTTCTTCATTTCTTCTTATATATATAACCTGTCATTTAAAATCATTTTCTGCTTAAAGAACACTGCTGGTGAAGAATCCTGAAAATGTCTTAATTTCACTTTTATTATCACAGGCTGCGTTCACTGGGTATGGAATGCTAGGTTTTCTCTCAACACTTTAAAGATATTTAAATTCTACTAATTTCTAGCAACTGTTGTTTCTGTCAAGAAGTAAGCTAATGGTCTATTCTTTTTTTTTTTTTTTCAAGTAATGTTAGCTGCTTTTAACATTTTTTTTTCTCATTGTCTTTGGTTTTCATCAATTTAATGTGATGTACCTAGGTGTGGCTTTCTTTTTATTTATCTTGCTTGGGGTTCCCTGGGATTCTGGAGTCTGTGGCTTGATATTTTTAGTCAATTTTGGCAATTTCTCACTATTTTTCTCTTCAAATATTGCTGCTGCCTTATTGTTTCTCTCTTCTTGTGGAACTTCAGTCTTCACTTTTATCTTCCATATCTCATTCTCTCACAGCATTTTCCACTTTTTGTCCCTTCATGTTTCCTCCTGATGTTTCCTTCTACTCTACTGCCCAGTTCATCAGTTCTCCCTTTAACCATGTCTAGTCAGCTGTTAAACTCATCTACCAAGCTCTTTACTTTTGTTATTATATTTTTCAATTCTACATTTCTGTTTGGTTATTTTTCAAATCATCATTGTCTTTTTTTTTTTTTTAAGTTTCTAGTTCTCTGCCAGGATTTTTAATCTTTTATCACCTTTGCTTAGTCTCTGCCTAATAACACCAGTAACTGCAGTTTTCTGAGATTGTTTCTATTGTAATTGTTTCCACTGGATCTCATTCATATCATCGTCTTTCCTTATGTGCCTGGGTATTTTCATGAGTGCAGCAATTGTGTCTGAAAAATTGTTTGTAGAAGTAACATGAGACCTTAATGTGTTCTATTCCTCCAGTAAGTATTTACATATGCTTCTGCTAGGCACTTGGGAATACTAGCAATCTAGGATCACCTTAATCCAATTTGAAGAATTAAGCTCATTGGTAGCTGAACTGAGACCCTGCAAAATGTGGTCTATTTCCTATTCATCCAGTTTTAAGGTGCATTCTATCAGGGCCCTCATGTAAAATGGGGGATTACAGGGTCCCCTCTCCTATGGTGGGCACTGGATTCCAACTTTTGTCCCCTTAGGATGCAAAACTGCCTCCACCGCTGCTTAGCCTCTCAACTTCTTAGTTGTCTCTTCCAGAAGTAGTAAATATCCTGAGGGGAAAAGACACCTCAGTTGTTGGGCTCGCCCATCTTTCCCCAGACCTTGGTTTAGCATCTCTTCATTATCTTTTTAACTCTTTGATGCCCTTCAGTTTGATTTTATTTTTATTTTGTCCAACCTTTGTAATTGTCCTCAGCTGGAGAGCAGGCCCCAGTGATGTAGTCTGCTGTTACCAGATGGTAGGAAATAGAAACGGGGGAAGTGGGCCAGGTTTATGTGCATGCATAAACCTTATGTGAGTGCTGGGTGCTGGGGTTAACGAGAGAGCATGACCCTTTTTTTTTTTTTTTAATTTTATTTATTTTTGACAGAGAGAGAGAGAGAGCACAAGCAGAGGAAGCAGCAGGTAGAGGCAGAGGGAGAAGCAGGCTCCCCACTGAGCAGGGAGCCTGATGTGGGGCTCAATCCCAGGACCCTGAGATCATGACCTGAGCCGAAGGCAGACGCTTAACCATCTGAGCCACCCAGGCGCCCCAGCATGAGCCTTTTTTGTCATATGGAAACAAGAGTCTCATGTTACCAGATTTTTCCTTTTTTTTTTTTTTCAAAAGAAGCAGGAAATGCAGGCTTTTAAAATGTGAAATCACAATTTTCAATGGTGACTAAAAAAAAAATTTAACTATCAGGAAACCGAACAAGACACATTTGCAGTTCAAATCCAGTTTGAAATATCTGAACTATAGTATGTATTGATGGGAGAAGGGGGGTTAAATGTGGTTATCTTTCACTATTAACCTTAGCTTCCAGTAGTCCAGGCTGCCTTGAATAAACCTGAGTCCCTCACACAAAAAAAAAAAAAAAAAAGAAATCAATTTATGTCTTACTGAAATCTCTTAAAAATGCCAATGGGAGGGGCACCTGGGTGGCTCAGTCTGTTAAGCGGCTGCCTTTGGCTCAGGTCATGATCCCAGGGTCTTGGGATGGAGCCCTACACTGGGCTCCCTGCTGAATGAGGAGCCTGCTTCTCCTTCTTCCTCCACCTGCTGCTCCCCCTACTGTGCTCTATGTCAAATAAATAAATAAAATCTTTTTTAAAAAAATGCCAACAGGAGGATGGACCCTATTCATAACACCAACAATATTTCTGGAAAATCTCCTCCCATCTCTCTCCCAAATTCTTCTTATGACAGCCCACCAGCTACTACCATCCCCCTTATCTCTTAAATTCGCCCCCACCCCCACCCCGGTTCATCCCATCTCTGGCTCTTAGCTCTCTTATCCTCCCTCTTACCTTCTGATCTATTCTGCTTTCCCTAGCAGGTAATTCCCGGCTTTTTCTTCAGTGGACTCATCAAACCATCCCCGCCCACAGCACCACGTGACCCAGAATCCCTTCCAGCATTTTCCTATATTCCACACAAGAAAGGCTCCAAAACCTAGCTGCCAAGACTAATCCTCCTTCACAGGAAGTGGGGGTGGGGAGACATGACGCTGTAAGTACTCTAAAATCTGTATTTTTTTTTTCCTGTCCCATCAGCTATGCCATCTGGGATGGGGTAAAGCCAGGACGTGATGTCATTTGCAAAGGAAGCAGAGCCAATTTCCAGGATGCTTTGGCACCAAGTTGGGTTTTCTGATGGCTGCCATTTCCTTGTCATTTACCTTCTATTGAAAGGACAGTGCCCCCTCCCAAACCACCACCCGTCTTGCAAATGAGGAGGGAGAAGCCAGAAGGAAGAAAAATCAAATGTGGACTTTTCCTCATTTGTCTAATAATAGAAAGTTGGCAAAGCATGTCACAGAATAGAAAGTATTTGATAAAAATAGCATCTGTTAAGCCTGGGACTCAAGCTGGAGATGCATGGAAATGAAATTTATTCCTTCTTGAGGGTTCCTCTGCTAGTATAACAATTCTGTCTCCCTCAGTAATGAGAGAGGTTTAAAATGCTACTTTCTGTGACCAAAACACCTCTCTTTCCCAGGGCTGAAGGTGGAGGAGGTGCTGGCTGAATTAAGGAAAGCACTAGACTGAGAGGCTCCCTCTGGCCAGTCGGGTGTAGCTCTACCATCCTCACACCCATCCTTGACTTTGAGACATGGTGTCAGGGACCACCTCTTACACCAGCTTGTGAGATGGGGCATCTGGGAGAAGGTTTTCTGGACAAGCCAGTGTCACTGACTCACAGGAGCCTAATTGATCATCATAACTGTGTAGTATTATTACTCTCCCAGAGGGAGGTCTCTGGCCACGTGGCCCTCAGTAAAAGGGCAAACAACAACAACAACAAAAACCCCAGAGGCTGATGTCCTCTCCTTCACAAAGCAGCTCCCCAAGGTGTCTGGGCTTTCAGATTTTCCTCCTCCTACCAAGGATCCCCAGGGGTGTCCCCTTAGCTCAGGATAGGAACCCCAGATTGGGCCTTTCTCAAAGCACGTCCTAGAGCCTGGTGAACTCTCCTCCTCATGACTGTCATCTGTGTTGCCCGCTCTTCCGGGTCCCAGCCCCTCGATGTCCTGCTTGAGACTGATAGTCTTTTACTGAAAAGCAAAACTGAGCCAAACTAACAGCAGACGATAACAAGTGATCAAGTGGCCCCTGTTAAATGACCTGGGTATTTAATGTTTTTTTTGTTTTGTTTTGTTTTTTTTTAAAGATTTTATTTATTTATTTGAGAGAGAGAGAATAGAGACAGAGAGCACGAGAGGGAAGAGGGCAGAGGGAGAAGCAGACCCCCTTCTGAGCAGGGAGCCCGATGTGGGACTCGATCCCGGGACTCCAGGATCATGACCTGAGCCGAAGGCAGTCGCTTAACCAACTGAGCCACCCAGGCGCCCTTTAATGTTTTTTTTAAAAAAAATTGTGATAGGGGTGCTTGGCTGGCTCAGTTGGTGGAGCGTGTGACTCTCGATGTTGGGGTTGTGAGTTTGAGCCCTATGTTGGGTGTAGAGATTAAAAATAAAATCTTTTTTTAAAAAGTTAAAAAATAGGGGCACCTGGGTAGCTCAGTTGGTTAAGTGTCCGACTCTTGATTTCAGCTCAGGTCTTGATCTCTGGGTCATGAGTTCAGGCCCCACATTGGGCTCCACGCTGGCGTATAGCCTACCTTAAATAAAGAGAAAAAGGGGAGCACCTGGGTGGCTCAGTCGGTTGGGCTTCTGACTCTTGATTTCAGCTCAAGTCATGATCTCAGGGTTGTGAAATCAAGCCCCACGTGGGGTTCTGTATGAGCGTGGAGCCTGCTTGGGATTTTCTCTCTCTCCCTCTCCCTCTGCCCCTCCCCCCTCACACTCTCATGCTCTCTGTCTCTGAAAAAGTAAAAGGGGGGGGACCAAAAAAAGGTAAAAAATTAAAAACTAAAAATCGTGATAAAGTACATATGACATAAAATTTACCATTTTAACCATTTTCAAGTGCACAGTTCAGTGGCATTGAGTACCTTCCCGTTCTCGTGCAACCATCACCACCCTCTAGCTCCAGAACTCTTTTCATCTTTTTTTTTAAGTTTAAGTGATTTTATTTTCAGACAACCTACATGACATTTTTTTCCTTAAAAACAATGCCTCTCCTCCAAAGAAATCAAGGTCACAGTAAATGAAGACCTCACGAGGACATCACCCGTTGGTCTGAGTCCTGGTGGTGTGGGCATGAAAAGCAGCAGCAGTTACGACAGCAGGTGATAGATCTAAAGTAATAGCCAAACTTAGTCACATTTTTCCATTTCTAAACCATCCTTAAAGAAAGTCATGTCAGGGGTCACACCATCCTCACAGTAGTCCAGCAGAGCAAGCACGCCATCTGGATTTGTATTTCCATCAGTAAAGAGCTGGTGGTTTTTGCAATTAGCAAGGATAGGCTTGCTTTGTTCTGCAGCCCGGGTCTCTGTTCTTCAGGTTTGCCTTTGGTCGAGTGCATGTCGTCTGTGATGTACAGGCTTTCTTAACGTGAAGCTGGTTTCCTGCAAGTGACAGTCCATGAGGTCCCAACACCAGTGACTGCTTTCGGTACCCTCACTCTCAGGGTCTTTAGCGGAGGCGTTGCCACAAATGAGTCAGTCATCAGTGTTAGCCTCTATCCCACTGACCATCTTCCTCTCCACCTCGGGGGGCAGCCCACCCTTGATCTCCTGGATCTTGATGTCTGAGGACTTATCATCACGGTTGATGATGTCACCATACATGATCACAGTGGCAAGTGGAGAATGGAGACAGATGAGGATGGCTCTAGGTTAACAGGAGCCTGGAGCCTGGAGGGAGTGGCCCAGCTTGAGCACCGCTTCACTGGGGAGGGGAGCAGGCAAGAGGCAGAAAAGCAGAGCTCTTTTTGTCTTGCAGAACAGAAACTCCGTGCCCTTAGACAATGGCTTCCCATTGCTCCCTCCCCTTGGCTCCTGGCAAACAAACACCATTCGGCTTTATGTCTCTATGATTTTGACTGTCGTATGTACCTCATAGGAGTGGAAACATACAGTATTTGTCCTTTTGACTGCCTGATTTCATTAGGATAATGTCCTCAACTTTCATCCATGTTGTGACATGTGTCAACATTTCCTTCCTTTTCAAGGCTGAATACTATTCCATTGTATGTATAAGCCGTATTTTGTTTATCCACGGAGCCACTGATGTATACTGGGTTGCCTCCGCCTTCTGGTTTTGTGAATAATGCTACAAAAAACATCAGGTGCTCTTTTCAAGATTGTTTTGACCTATTGGTGTTTCCACAGGACTCTTTAGGAAGAGAATTCAAATGGTGGGATATTTTAAGAACCTAGGAAAGCCAGTGAGAGCTATTTTAGGTGGAAACAGATTTCAGCGTCCCCTGCATCAAACCATGTCACCTGCATATGGGCCTGCCCCTAGCTCCACGCTCTAGTATCATGTATTTTGCATTTCCTCACTGAAAAGGATAAAAAGTTATGCCCAGTGGGGAGAAAGTATATAAACACTTAACTTCCCAAGCCAGTTGACCATGGGCATTTTGACGGTGGTGATTTATCAGGCAGTAACATTGAGAGGTGACAGAATGATATAGGAACAAACAGGCTTTGGCATTAAACCTGGCAAACATGTTTCCCCCACATGGACTCCACATGCCTTCCTGTCCTGACTCTTTAGGGTCCTTGTTGATTCCCATTTACCCCTCCCTGAGCTCTCCTGTGTCTTCAACTCTTAACTGCTCCCCATCAGCACTGCAACATGCTGGTCTTTAACAAAACAAAACTGCAAGGCAAAAGCACAACCCCTCTTTTTTTTTTTTAAAGATTTTATTTATTTATTTGACAGAGAAAGACACAGTGAGAGAGGGAACACAAACGGGGAGTGGGAGAGGGAGAAGCAGACTCCCTGTGGAGCAGGGAGCCCGATGCGGGACTCGATCCCGGGACTCCAGGATCATGACCTGAGCCGAAGGCAGTCGCTTAACCAACTGAGCCACCCAGGCACCCACAACCCCTCTTTTGAGCCCCGTCTCCCTTCACCTCCCACCCTCTCTCTTGTCCCCCTGGAAGCCTGTCTTCACCATCCGCTCTCACATTCCACTCAATTCACTCCTAGACCCACTGCACTCTGGCTTTGGCCCCTATGCTCTTCTTCTGGGTTCAGTTGTGACCTTGCTGGGCCTCCTGGTCTGAGCTCGTGATGGACCTGAGTCTCAACCTCCTATTCAAGACAGCAAGAGTGCTCATCCTGAGAAGTCCTGGCCTGTAGCTTCAGAGGCAGTCCCTAGAATACCAAGAGTACACATATATTTTTTTCTCCTGTGAAGGTATATGCTAACCCAGGTAAGGTGTATGATCTATGGAACCATATCCTCACAGACTCAGAAACAAGAACAACATTTGCACAACATCTTTCAGACAGTGGAGCCTAGAGGTCAGGAGATCAACTCTATCATCAAACAGATCTGGAGAGACCCCCAGCTCAGCCAGTTGCTACCTGGGAGATCTTGGGCAAGTTACTTCAATGCTCCGTGCCTCCTCTCCTCACCTCAAAAATGGCCATCACAATAGCAGGTACCTCATGAGACTATTAGAAGAAGTGAGTAAGACAGCGTGTGTCAGGTGCTGAGCACAGTGCATGGCTCATAGGAAGCATTTCTTAAGGAATCGCTCTCGTTACTACTTTTTATTGGTATAAGTTGACCTTATGATCTAAGTCCATCTTGATTATCACACCTATAAAATGTAAATGAACAAATGTGGTAAGACTAAGGGTTTGTTACAAAATTCTCTAGAAAAATCATTGGTTTCCTGAGTGATCAGGAATATTTAAGGGGCGCCTGGGTGGCTCAGTTGGTTAAGCGTCCAACTCTTGATCTCAGCTCAGATCTTGATCTCCGGGTCATGAGTTTGGGCCTCCTGCACTGGGCTCCACGTTGGGTGTGGAGCCTACTTAAAAAAAAAAAAGGAAAGGAACATTTAAAAAGGACAACGTGAGAAACTACAGGGAGAAACATTGCAGAGGGGCTAGAGAAAGGCAGAATCCTCAAATGAGAATGAACATTCCTAGATGTTGGGAGATAAACCAGAAAGCACGAGAGTATGACGAAAATGTACCTCTGTGGTTAGTATCAGATAAGATGAATGATCTCTGTTATGCAAGTACAAACACAGACTGTGTGGGGAAACAGCCACTGGAAAAGCCATCAGAACTAAAATTAGACAGTAGTCAACAGTCTGGCCACCAGAGGAGGCATCTACTGTGATAAATTAAAACTGTAGACCTCATTTTAAAATAAGTAGAAGTAGAGATACTCCAAGAACAGATTGCAGAGTACGTGAATAGGTATGTGAGTCTGACAAAATGACTGAAGTGCAGGCAGAGATTGAAGGACATTGAAGTAAAATCAGCCCATGTTGGTCCACAAATAAAGCCTGGAGGACAGCTGAGCAAAGAGTCTGGGCCTGTGCTGTCCGGAGGGGCGGCCGGGAGCACAGGCGGCTCTCAAGCCCTTGAAATGTAGCTGCTGGAAAATGAGACATGTGATAAGTGTAAAAATACACACAGATCTCAAAGACTAAGTCCCCAAAAAAGAACATAAAAATATTAACAATCTAAAATATATTGATCACAAGTTAAAACTTTAACGGTTCAGATGCTGAGTTAAGCAAACTATATACTAAAATTAATTTTACTGTGTTTCTGTTTCTTTTTAAATGTGACTTCTATAACATGTAAAATCACACACGTGGCTCGTACTTATGACTTGCTTTATATTTTTATTGGACTGTGGTGGTCTGGATAGCCCCATATTCCCCGTGCCCCCCGCCCCCCACATCCCCACACTGGCAGTAACCATGCCTGGGGGCAAGTTAGTTAACAAGTCAAAGCTTTAGTTTCCTCATCAGTAAAAGAAGTGTTATAAGAATTAAAGGGGGTCTTTTTAAAAAAATTTTTAAACGTTTCTATTTAAATTCCAGTGTAGTCAACGTACAGTGTAATATTAGTTTCAGGTGTACAATATAGTGATTCAGCCCTTCCATACGTCACCTGGTGCTCATCACAACAGGTGCCCTCCTTAATCCCCATCACCTACTTCACCCATCGCCCCACCCCACAAACAACAGTTTGTTCTCTATAGTTAGGGCCTGTTTCTTGGTTTGTCTCTCTCTTTTTCCTCTAAAAGGGGTGATTTGAAAAGCATTAGCAGAGTGCCTTGCATATAGTAGGTATTCAGCATGTGTAGGCTATGTTTTTTTGTTGTTTAATTCCAAAGAGTTGAGAGTTTATTCTATGTCAGTATCATTACATGTGCAAGGCAATATTTAAGGATGCCTTCACAGTCCACCAAATGGGAAAGGAACATCTGCCCACCTTGAAGAGCAGCAATATTTGGCTCGGGCAGTTTTGCTTCCCAGGGCCATCTGGTGATGTCTGAGACATGTTTGCTTGTCAAAACCTGGAGGGATGAAGCTGCCACTGGTATCTAGAGGACAGAGGCCAAGGATAACGCTAAACATCCTACAGCTTAAAGCACGCCCCCCCCCCGCGCTCCCCCATAACACAATATCAATAATGCCCCACGTGAGCAGCCCTGAGTTAGAGGCTCTTGGTCATTTACAGACTTTGATTAATAATCAAGCTTCAGAAATGTGTGGCACAAGGAGAACTGCAGATGTCATCCAGGTGCTTTGGGGAGCCACCCCCGCCGACTCCCACCCGCAGCAGCAGCCTCACCACCCAGGAATTATTAGACACGCACCCTCTTAGGCCCCACCCCATTCCCCCACTGAATCAGATAAGGCGGAGCCCAGAAGTCTACGGTTTAACAAGCAAGCCCTCCCGGCGATTGTAATACACTCTGAGGTCTGAAAAGCCTGCGGGCTGACGGTGTCCCCGGGTTACCGCCTCCCGCACGTTCCGCGCGTGACCGGCAGGTGGCAGCAGACCCGACGTCGGGACGGTAGGGCTTGCGGAGAGCGGGGACTGCGTGCTCGCCCGGCCTCCCTTTCAGTAGTGGGCCTGCTTTCTAACTTCGGAAGGTTAGGGAGAAAAACATGGTTCGAACTCATTCAGGGTCCCATCTCAGTCACATAGTGCTAACAGGGCTTTAAAGTCGTTCAGTTCTAATTTATGTGACTAAAGCATATTCTCCAACAGAGAAGTGGGTGAATAATCTCAACGCTTCGCACCCTACAAAATGCCAAGCCATGAGATTCAGTCGTTTCTGCTGTCCCCGGGGCACCTTTGGGCCAAGCACTTGACATAGCACACTGAATGACTCTTTGGCCCCTCATCTACACGTGCACCCGATCTGGCGAATGACGAACATCGCAGGTTTCCCCGGATCTTTTGTGAGGCAGATACAAGATAAATGAGATCGGCAAACCTCGTTAAGGCGAAGAGCGAGTGCGTTACCGTTCAGGTAGTTTTCCGCTTGAGCCACAAGGGGGCACCCTCCACCCTGCCATGGGCGTCCATGGGCCAAGTAAAGACCCTGAAGGGGAAGGTTGCTTGACCTGTTAGATAGTGAAGGGATGGGGAGGGAACTGTTACTTCTTTGATAAAGTGGCTCAGGGGTGTGACTTTTGAGTTGGACCTCTGCCCTGGACTCAAGGGCTGGATTCCTCAAGGTGTGGTCCCCAGTCTGGCAGCATCAGCATCACCTGGGAGTTGTTAGGCAAGCAAGTTACTGGACCTCATCCCAGACCAGCTGAATCAGAAGCTCTGGGGGTGGGACCCAATGATTTCTGTTTTAACAAGCGTCTTCCCTCTTATCCTCCACCCCCACCCCAGGTGACTGCGATGCTGGCTCAAGCTTGAGAACCACTGCTTTCTAGTCCAGAGCATCTTCCGGAGTATTGGCTGGGATGCACAACCACGTTGCTATCTGATCTCGTCACGCTTCTGCCAAGAGGTGAAATCTAAGAGCCCAGGTTCTGGATGCCTGACATCTTCTTCAGGTCACTTACCTGAGAACACCTGAGGACACTGCGGTCCGTCTTTCTGCGTGAACGTGTGCAGTCCCTGGGCTCTGAGAGGTAGAAAGGAGTGCTAAGTGAAGTCAGCCCTTATGAGCTTCCAATCACCTGTCAAACATGGGACTGCCAAATCAAAGACCGAGAGAACCAAAGACCACGGGGGCTCCAAATGGTGTGGTTCTGACTGCATGTGGAAACAGAATGGAAGCACACACATTGCAAAACTCTCCCCGCCCGCCCCCCCGCCATCCTTCCTTGCTTTATCTATTCTCTCACACCCAGCTGCTGTTACAGCCCCCTCCTTTTCCTCCCAGCTCACTGCCCACCCTGGGTTTGCTCCAGTTTTCTCTCTTATTGCCCCTAACACCACCCCTCCATCTCTTGTCCTCTTCCCCTCCACCCCATTCTGGTTTTGTTTTAGATCGCAGAAGTCCCGAGGATAGATTCAGCAAGGACAGAGACCCCAGAAGGCAGGGGGAAAGGAGGGAACAGAGCGGACAAGGACAGATTTCGGTTCAGGATAAAGACTGAGAACACCCGAGTGCACTTGACCATCAGTGCTCCTGTCCCTGAGCACCGCAAGCCTGGGGCATGGAGACTGAGCTGCGGGCTGCAGGTGTGGCAGAAGCTCCTGAGGGCCACTGGACGTGAGCTAAGCCGTGGCAGGTGAGGGGGCTCTGGGTGAGCGGAGGGGAGGGAGGGGCCCTTCCAGCCCATAGCAGGAAGGAGCCTGAGCGTGAGGGTCATGGTAGCCTGTGGGGGATGGAGGATATGATGCAGAGTCGTGGGAAGTGAGGCTGGATAGGTCTTCAGACGGAGGAGGTGACAGATAAAGTTGGAGTTGGTTCCTGAGCGGAGGAGAAGTGTGTGTAATAATGAATTCTATCAGTACTGAGAAGGCATCATGTCCTGCAGGAGTCACGATTGAAATGCGGGTGGTGTGAAGCAGGTGAGGTACGAAGCAGTCGGGCCGGGAGGGGCTGTGGTGAGCTAGAGCCCGTGCCCACTCTAACGTGGGGGATTACTGGGGAATCAGTCTCTTAATGTGAAGTTTCTTCATTTTTTAAAAGAGACGAGGTTTTTTTAAATTGAGGTATAATTGACACACTGTTACGTTAGTTTCAGGTGTACAACATGGTGATTGCAGGAGTCTCTACATGATGCTGTGCTCCCCACGAGTGTAGCTCCCAACTGTCCCACACAGTGCTGTTACCCTTCCACTGACTGTATTCCCTGTGCTGTATCTTCCATCCCCGTGGCTTATTTATTCCATAACTGAAAACCTGTACCTCCCACTCCCCATCACCCATCTTCCTCACCACCCCCGGCCTCTTAACCTCTGGCAACCATCAGTTTCTTCTCTGTATTATGGGTCTGTTTCTGCTTGTTTTCATCATTGTTGTTCATTTGTTTTGTTTTTTAGATTCCACACATATGTGAAATCACATGGTATTTGTTTTTCTCTGACTTATTTCACTTAGGATAATTCCTCTAGGTCCATCCATGTTGTTGCAAATGTCAAGATCTCATTTTTTTATGGCTGAGTAATACTCCAGTGTTTATACATCACATCTTCTGTATCCATTGCATCCATTGATGAACACTTAGTTTGCTTCCATATGTTGACTATTGTGAATAATGCTGCAGTAAAAAAGGATGCACATATCTTTTCTTTTCTTTTTTTTTTTTTTTAAGATTTTGTTTATTTATTTGACAGAGCGAGAGGGAACACAAGCAGGGGGAATGGGAGAGGGAGAAGCAGGCTTCCCTCTGAGCAGGGAGCCTGAAGCAGGGCTCAATCCCAGGACCCTGGGATCATGACCTGAGATGAAGGCAGACGCTTAATGACTGAGCCACCCAGGTGCCCCACATACATCTTTTCAAACTAGTGTTTTCATTTTCTTTGGGTGAATACCCAGTAGTGGAATTACTGGATTATATACTGGAAATATATATATTTCTATTTTTAAGCTGTGAAGGACTTCGACACTGTTTTCCACAGTGGCTGCACCAGGTTAATGTTACCACCAAGGGTGCACAAGTTTCATTTTTCTCCACATCCTCACCGATACATACTTCTTGTCTTTTTCATGCTAGCCGTTCTGACTGGTAGGAGGTGGTAACTCACTGTGGCTCTGATTTGCATTTTTCTGATGATGAGTGATGTTGAGCACCTTTTCATGGAGGTGTTGGCCATCTGGAGGTCTTCTTAGGGAAAATTTTTATTTATGTCCTCTGCCCTCCCCCCTTTTTTTTAATTTCACCTACCCACTTGACAGAGAAAGAGTGAGAGCGAGATAGAGCAAGCGCACAAGCAGGGAGAGTGGCAGAGGGAGAGGGAGAAGCAGGCTCCCTGCTGAGCAAGGAGCCCGATGCGGGCAGATCCCAGGACCTCAGGATCATGATCCTAGCTGAAGGCAGACACACAACTGACCAAGGTACCCAGGCGCCCCCGTGCCCATTTTTAATCAGCCTATTTGTTTCTTCATTTTAAAATATGGTAGCTAATTAAAAATTTTAAAGTCTGGGCCTCTGGTTGGTCAGTTCTGACTTGGATTTTTTTAAATTTTTAATTTAAAGGGGTTTTTTTTTTTAAGTTTTTATATATTTATTCATGTAATCTCTGTACCCAGTGTGGGGATCAGACTCATGACCCCCAGATCAAGAGTCTCATGCTCTTCCAACCGAGCCAACCAGGTACCCCTCTGACTTGGATTTTTTTTTTTTCTGGCCTGGGGCTTTGTACCATACTGTGAAAATACTAAAGCTAGTATATCTTCTTAGTTTCCTCCCTTACTCTTTTCTATTAAACCCATTTATGATGAAAATCAAAAAAATAAGTATTCACTGAACAACAACAGTGTACTTTTAAATGCTTCACTTGGATTATCCATTTAATCCTCACACAGTCCTGTAAGATTAGCTACTCCTATCTTATAGATGAGAGAACTAAGGCTCAGAGAGGTAAAATCCCTTGCCCCAGATCGTACAGCAAGTAGGGAAGCCAGGACTCCAGCCCAGGTGGTCACATTCTTGACTCATGCCTTTAGCCTGTGTGTCATATCCTTTCCTGTGTAGTTCAGTTACCATATTTCAGTCATGGTTTTCCACCTTCCAAGCATGAGCGATAATCGTGAGGTTGTGTTTTACCTTCTTGTGTTAAAATATCGGTGTGCGTTTTCCTTGCCCATGCCCTGGTGTGGAATGTGGGTCTGTTCTGGTCGGTTTGACAAATATTTACTGGGTATTCATGATGTGCCATGCAGCGTGCTGGGCACCAGTCACTGACCATCATGAAACCGTTTTATTTATTTTTTATTTTACTTATTTTTTAAGTAAACTCTACCTCCACTGTGGGGCTGGAACTCACGACCCACCCCGAGATCCAGAGTCCCATGCTCTACTGCCTGAGCCAGCCAGGCGCCCCCATGAAACTGTTTTAATAGGAAATGCTGACGGAAGCACAAAATCTCAACATAATGTGGGATGTCATGTTGGAATACAGGCATCCTCGGGATGTGGTGAGATCACACACTGGAGTCCTGCATGTGGGGGAAGGGGTAAGTCAGGGAGGACTTCCTGTGAGAAATGTCATGGGGGCTGAGTGTCAGAGAACTCTGAGGAGCAGCGAGGTTCAACGGGCCAGCACTGGAAGAGGCAGAGGGTATAGGCAAGATCGAGAGGGTGGTGACCAGGCATCAGGAGGAGTTGGGGACCTCAGGGTTAGATGTTCCCGAAAAAGCTGACAAACAGAAGGGCGGCTGCTAAAGGAGGTAGGGTTGATAGGCTAAGGGGCAGACCCCACAGAGAGAATAAAGACCGATTTGTGAGTGAATGGAGGAGATAAATCGACCAAAAGCCAGAGGAGGGCATTGCATTAGCTCAGCCTGGCACATGGAAGGACTGACCACCTCTTACTAGTATGAGAGCGTAAGCAGGCTCCTTCACCTCTGTGATCCTCAGTTTCCTCATGCAAAGTAGAGTCTGTCACTGATAGTTTGGTGGGTATTGCATCAGATGCCCCTGCCAGGTCTAGGCCAGTGCTTGGCCAGGGCAATTGCTTAGACAATGTGAGTTATCATCATTGAGGCACTTACTAAATGTTTGTTGAATGAATGAAAGACGGCAATGGCTTAAGCCAACCCAGTGATACCAACAGGAGTTGGGAGATCAATGCAGGAGCTTAAAGTTGAGACTCGCCCGTGATTCTGCGTGTCTTTTGAGGACTGGGAAATAAGGGCTACATTCATTTGCAACGGAGATACGTTTCAGTGCTGTCATAAAGTCCCAGTGAAGCTATCTGGTCCCCCTGACCAGCAGCCTGCCTCCACATGCCAGTCTGACCCCAGATGCTGCAGCTGAATCAGCCATCACTGGGTGCTGAGGCTGCTGATTTTCCCCAGGGGGCTCATCTGCACTCCTGTGACTCTAGCATTCCTGCAGGTTTCATCATTCCCTCCAGGTGCTCACAGCCCAGCCAACAGCACGCTCCCTACCAGGCAGCTGCAGCCGTCTGGCGCCTGGCGCCGAGGAGCCCATCGCTGGAAATCTGCATCCGTTCAGGACCCATGACGACCTCGTTGGCTCCTGCATGATGGATGGATACAGTTGCTGCCCCTGTGTCCCTTGCTCCCAAAGAACACAGAGGGGGACAGTCTCCAGCCAGCTGGGTAAGCTCCAGGTGGCCACGTTCACCTTGGGGATTCCCAGGAAAAGAGGGAAAAACTCGAAAATGATTACAGTCGTGCTTTCCCTATCTGTAGTCATTTTTGCTTCAGGATCTCAGCGGCTGGAGCCCATGGGAGTTTTTCTCCAGGTTGTTGTGCTGGCAGCTGAGTACCCCGATTTTCAGGTGGTGATGAGGGGCCCAGGAGGGAGGGACCTGAAAAGTGGAAGTCTGGCTTATTGTTTCTGATTTGCAAGAATTTCTGTGACAGTGGGTCCCACATTTACCTGTGTGCCAGATTCCTCTCTAGAGTAGGAGACACACAGGGCTACGAGTTCTGGAAGGGTAGGTATGTGGCCAGGCCCAGATACCTGTATCTTAATTCAGCTCCTTAGGACTTCTCACAGTGTGGTCCACAGATCGCCTGAATCCAATCACCCGGAGTGCTTGTTTAAAAATGCAGGTTCTGGGGCGCCTGGGTGGCACAGTCTTTTGAGTGTCCGACTCTTGGTTTTGGCTCGGGTTGTGATCTCAGGGTCATGAGATCGAGCCCCGTGACCCGCTGTGTGCTCAGCGGGGAGTCTGCTTGAGATTCTCTCTCTTCCTCTGCCTCTTCCCCCCTCCCCCATGCTTGAGCTCGCTCACTCTCTCTGAAATAAATAAATCTTAAAAAAATAAAATAAAAATGCATGTTCCTTGGCCTGACCTCAGACTCATGGAATAGACAGCTTAGGATTTTGAGGCTTTAAGTTATTTAAATTGAAATGTAATTGACATTCAACATTGTGTTCGTTTCATGATTCCATGTTTGTGTACATTGGGAAATGATCACCACAGCAACCCTAGGTAATATCCATCTCCATACATAGTTACAAAAAAACTTTTTTTTCTTGTGATGGGAACTTTTAAGATTTACTTTCTTAGCATCTTTCAAATTTACAATACAATATTACTGGCTGTAGTCACCATGAGGTACTTGTTTTATAACTGGAAGTCTCTGCCTCTTGCCTCGGCTCACCCATTTCACCCACCCCTCTGGCAACCACCAGTCTGTTCTCTGTATCTATGAGTTTTGTTTTTTGTTTGTTCATTCGTTTTGTTTTGTTTAGATTCCACATATAAGTGAGATCGTACTGCATTTGTCTTTCTGTCTGATTTGTTTCACCCATCGATAGCTTCATTTTTAACAAGTGACCTAAACCTTTGAGAACCACTGCATCGATGATTCTGACACATCATGACATGGGCAAAGCCAGTTAAGCTCACATTTCCATCTTGCAGACCCTAGATTTTTTTTTTCCCTGACTCAACTAGACTTCCCTCAGCAATGAAGAGCAGGGTTGGCCAACAGAATACAAAGAAGCAAAGAAAGTAGAAAAGTGATGTAATCTGAAGCCACGTTGTGTCTGAGGCCAAGAAATTGTGACAGAAAAACACTAGGGCTCCTCACCTTGACTGTGACAAAGCTTTGGAGGGTGAAATGCAACATGAACCTTCTGAAAACTGTCGACACTACACGGTGCTTTGGCAAATGGGTCAGTTGTAGTTCACAGCTTCCTCCTGGAGAACAAGAAGCTGCTTCTAGAATTAGGTGGCTTTTGACTCTTCGTGGCAGTCTTGGGGCAGGATGGTGTGAGCAGAGAGATTGGGAGCTTGGATCCCAAAGGGCAGAGGCCTCAGCCTGGGCCTGAGCCTGCAATGTTTGACCTCGAGGCAGCAGAGGGGTGCGGGCCACGTGTCTGTGCAGTGTTTCAGGGCAGGCTCTGCTGCCAGCCCCATGGAGCCCTCACCCTCGTGTCCCCTCTCCTGGCGGTCCGTGAGAGCAGTGTGAGTCCCCGAAGAGCCAGTGCAGAGCCATTCTCTTGGAACCTAGCCAGCCAGACAATGGGCACTCTGTTCCTGTGTTCGCTAGTACCCAGGCAGTTAACCCAGAAACTGCCCTTGTGGCCTTCAGGGCAGGCAAATTTAAAAGCTCTCCTTTTAACTTTGGCCCCACATCTCAGAGGCTGAGAAGATGTACTTTTCTCCCCCAAAGCCCAGTTTTTCCATACTCTTTGACCATGAGCTCTTCAAGAGGGTCTCTTTTCTTCCTGCAGAATTTATAGATCTTGAGAAGAATTCCCCCAGGAACTCTGGGGACAAGAGCCACCTATGTCCACCCAGCAGTATGGACTGGGAACACTCAAAATGTCTCTCTCCCACCCCTATAAGAGCCAGAGATCAAACAGCCATCCCAGAAGGCCAGAAACTGGAGGCATTCTTAAAATTTGTTTCTAATTTCATTTTATTAAACTTGGTATCATTTCAAAAATTGAGACAGCTTACCAAATTGTATACAGTATATCTCAGCAAGAAGAATAAAATCAAAGCAAAAGCAAAGGAAGGGAAACAGACAAAACCAGGTAGAAGTTTTTGCATGAATTCCCTGGTATACTTATTAAAGACAGCACACAGATTTGGTTCTGAGCTTTTTAGCAAGCAAAGAAGCGATCAGTCCTAAATGTAACTCAAATAGGCTCCATTCCACTTTCTGCTTTATTTAAAAAAAAAAAAAAATGGCACTTTTATATGCCAGGCACTGTCCTAGGCCCTGAGTGTAGAGCCATATGAACAAAATTAAGTCCCTGTCTTCAAGGAGCTTAAGCTTAAGTTCCACTTAAGGGAAATAAATAATATACTAGTAAACACTGAAATGTGACAGAATATCAGGCGATAATAAATGCTAAAAGAAAAGTGAAACTGTGTGCAGGGATGTACAGAGCCCAGGAGAGGGGACAGCCATTTCAGACCAAATGGTGGGGGACGTCATCTAGGGAGTGACACGAGCAACTGAAGGGTGAAGAAGTGAGCTGCGTGGATGAGGGGAAGTGTGTTTGGGGCACAGAGGGCAGCATGTGCAAAGACCACAAAGCAGGAGGACAGTTAATGTGTCTGAGAAACTTCCAGGACATCAGTGGAGCTCGAGCACAGGGAGGGGCAACGGGGGACCTGTTAGGTGGTATACCATGCCCTTGGGAATCGTGCGACCTCGCAGCCCCTGGGCATCTTCCAGGCCACATGAGGACTTTGACTCTTGCCTGGAGTGAAATGAGCAGCGTAGGGGAGTGTTGAGCAGAGAGCTGGAATGCTTTCAAAAGATCACTCTCGCTGTTGTGTCAGAAATGGGCTGTAGAGGGTGTTGGCTAGTCTACTAGGGCAGGCCATAACAAAATACCACAGACCGGTGGTCTGCAACGACAGAAGTGGGTTTTCTCACCGTTCTGGAAATCTGAGATCAAGATGTTGGTAGGTGTGCGGTTTTTCTGAGTCCCTCTGCACGTGTCCTCGCATGGGCTTTGTGCACACACATGTCCTGTGTCTCTCTGTGTGTCCAAATGTCCTCCTCTTGTTGAGGATATCAGTTAGATTGGATCAGGGTCCACCCTAAAGGCCTCATGTTAATTTAAGTGCCTCTCTCAGGGCCCTATCTCCAAATACAATCCTGTTCTAAGGTCCTGGGATTAGAGCTTCAACGCATGAATTTGGGGAGAACACAATTCAGCCCATAATGGGGCATGGGTAGAAGCAAGGGTAGAAGACCCGTTTGGAAGCAAGCCACAGCCGCCGGTGGTGTGGGGCAGACTGATGGGTGTGGGAGTGTGAGAAGTGCTCCGATTCTGCAAATAGCTTCAAGGTACAGGAGGGTCCGCTGATGGATCAGATGGAGGGTGTGAAGAAAGAGAAGATTCAAGGATGGCTCCAGTTTGGGGGGGTAGGTTGGGCAACTGGAAGCATGGGGTTGGCATTTATTGAGATAAGGAAAGCTATGAGGAGCAAGTGCAGGGGGAGGCTGAGGTCAAGGAGTTCAGGTTGGGGCATGTTAAGTCTGAGGCATCCAACTCATCCCTTTCTAGGGTGGCAACAGAAAATTCAGAATTCTTGTTCTTTTCTCAGGCAGTGCCGCTCTGGTCTTCTGTCTCAAGTCTCTATATCAAGACCATGCGGACTCTAGAGGCCTTGCCCCATGCTGCCGAGGAGTCCCTTTTCTTCCAGACCCCTGATCCAATGACCTGATGGCCTCTGCCCATAAATCTCTCTGTATTCTCCCCTCAGACCACTTTTCCTTTCACATAAAATGGATGATCACTTGCAGCGCCATCCACTCATAAGATTTTCCATTTCCCATCCATTCAAGACCATTCTTGAATGTGGCTGTAACACGGCCGTCATTCATTTTTCTTTTATATTGGGCAACCAGACCAACCTGTGTGTAAACCAAGCTAGGGCTTCTTCGTCCTCCTTCAGCTGCTCTTAAGGACACACAACACAGCACGAGTGCAGGTCAGCTCAGGGACATCTGTGCCACGGTGCTAGGTCACCCGGAAGTCTGGACTCTCTGTCCATGCAGTTTGACCCAAACACACCATTTCCAACAGCAGGACTGCTGCTGATCCTACCCAACTTGATGACTTGATGGATCTGACGGAAGCAAGCTCATCAGAGGCACTTGCAGACCATGATCACTTTGTTCCCAGTGGTCAAGCGTTCTGTCTCTACCAGGGTCAGTAACACATTACATTGTTGCTGCAAAGCTGTATGCATGTCTGCTGTAGATTACATGCCCTTGCTCTAGAATCTCTGGGCTGCATCATGATTCTCCCATGGGGTCCTTCTGCAATTTGTCTGTTGCTTTAGAGGGGATATTCTGGCATGCCTCTGACCACTGGACCCCTAAAAACCTCCCAGTGGTGTGGCTGGTCCCTGAACTTCGGAACATTCTTACCCCGCCCTGTGGGCTGCACTCATCTTACCGAGGCTTCCACTGTTTGGCCACCTCTTCCTCATCCTATCAGCCTGATCAGCCTGATGCCCTCAGCCTAATGGACCAATGTGATGTTCTGTGGGGTGTCCCGGGGAACCAGCTGTCTGAACTGTATGTGACAGAAGGTGAGAGAGTTAAAAGAGCACGGAAGCAGAACTATCATTGTGGTCAGTTTCATGATAATGGCAACTGTTTGTGATCCTCTTTTCTAAGGAGAAGAAAACACACATTTACCACAACAGGAGCCACCCGCTGTGTACCTTGGCCTTACTGATCTTGTGGAATGCAGACGGCCCCTCCAGTGTAGCCGCTACAGCCCAGGGCTACTACTAGGGTGAGTTACAGTCATGCTCTGGGGACATCTGGTCTCCCTCTACAGGCTCTCAGAGCAAAGCACCGTGTTCTCTGTGGGCCATCACTTTCTCTAGGCCTCTGAGCACTGTTGGCTTTGTTGTCAGTTGCTGTGGACAAATTTCCCAAAACCTAATGGCTTAAAACAACAAATACACATTATGTCACACTGTCTGTGGGTCTGGTTGGAAGTGGCTTAGCTGAATGCTTCTGGCTCAGGGACTCTCATGAGGTTGCCATCAAGGTGTCAGCCAGGGGTTGTATCAACTGAAGCCTTGATGAGGGTCAGGAAGGCATGCTTCCAAGAAGGCTCACTCACACGATGGCACATGGTCCTGGCTGGGATGCCTCTGTTCTCCTCCACATGGCCTCTCATCCTCCAGGACCTTTCTTCTCCAGGTGGCTTCTTCTGTAAGATAGTATGCACTTCTTTACATGATGGCTGGACTCTGTGTGAGAGAGACTAGCCTCAGAATGCCCAAGCCTTAAGCCAATCCACTCAGGAAAGTGACATCCCATCACTTCTGCCATGTTCTTCATCGTAGAAGTGAGTCCCTGAGCCTTTACTCAGCGGGAAGGGATCACATAACATGAGTACCAGGAGGCACAGGGCCATGTTGGAGGCTGTCTGACATAGCTACCCTAATAGCAGGTCTGCCTCAACCCCTGGGCTCCTTCAGACATGAAATCCCATGTCCCAAGAAAGCACCTCCAAGTCAAAGTATTTTGAGTCCTATATTCTTGCCTCTTGATCAAGAACCCTCAAATCTAATCCCTGAGGTCCTTCTCTAGTGGCAGGTGATACGTGCTAGCTGATTCATACAGCTATCATTGTATAGTTACTCTCCTCCCTGATCAAGCCCAGCGTGTTCTGGAGTTTCATCCTACTTATCTGAAAGTGAGGGCAGCTCCTTGAGGTCTTGCTGCAGAGAGGTCTCTGCAGCACCATCGACACTGGGAAGTGCTAACTCTAACTAGGAAGAGGTGGGCTACCTCTGCAGAAGCACCTCATGGGGGAGGGAGGCATCCCCCTGGGTGTGAACAAGCCCAGAGCATCTATCCGGTTGTCTCCATCCCACATTTCAGGGCCAAGGTTTTCCAGCAAGGGCTTTGACCTCAGCGGAATAGCCAGTCTGGACTGAGCTTGTGCATGTCTCTGCAGCTTGGAAGCTCCCACCAATCCAGTTCTGCTTGGGTTCCTCAGCTCTGTTAGCTTTTCTACTGCAGGAAATAAGGGCCTCTTTGTCAACTCCCAAATAAGCCCTTTGGCTGTCATACTTAGCCTTTAACTGTTTGTTTAACTGTTTGTTATTGATCCTCAGTTTCTCCCTCCTGGCCAAGCTTCAAGACAGTTTAGCAAGAACCAGCTAACTCTGCTGCCCTTGTAGACATCACCCAAACTGCTCCCCAGTATCATTCAAATGCCTGCTTCTTCCCCTCATCAGGCTGTGTCCTTCCACTGGGACGCTTGCCCAGGCCCCCACCAGTGAAACAGCAATGTTTACTCAGGATGGCGTCCTCTTTGCCTTCCTGGGGGCGAGTGAGGCAGTCTCCCATCTTTCTGCCCGCTTTCTCCAACCATTCCTGCGTTAGTTTGGATTCTCTGAGAAGCAGATGCCAAGATGTCATGAAGTTCACAAGATTGATTTGTGGCAAGGGGTAGGAGCAGGATTGGGCCGGGCGAGCCTTCAGACTGTTCTGTTGGTCTGAGATCTGTTTAAAGAGACCGAGGGAAGGAAGATGGTCATGAAGAGTCTCTGACTGCAGAGTGGTTCTAAGGAAGTTTCAGCTGGCCAGGGGAGAGTTCTTGAGCCAGAGTTCGAGGCGTCATGCACAGGACGCCCCTGCGCACAATCCTTGCTGGGAGCAGTTCTGGAAAGCACTTGCCTGGGCACAGACATTGGAGGGGCTAGGGGGCTGTCGGTCAACTACACACCGCACCCTCCCCAGCTTCTTGCAGCAGCGTGAGAGTTGAGCAGCCTTCTCCTGGTCTCCCAGTCTGAGGGTGCCCTGACTACTAAGAACTCTGGTTGACTGAGCCCAGCGAGAATATGTAAATGCCCCGAACCTCCAAGTATCCGAATTGGAGGCCCCCTCCTGCCCTAGAAGCTCAGCCAGATGCCCCTTCTGGGCTGCCTATCTCCCTACCCCACCCCACCCCACCCCCACTCTTCTCACCGGCCCTGGGTGCAGGCCTGGTCTCAGGAATGCAAACCGGTAGGACACGGGATTGTGACTCGGACCGATAGGTGGTGGGATCTCAGCTGTGCTCCCACCCTGCCTTCCGGGACTGAACTTCTAACCACGGGAGCCATTCCTCAGTCCAAAACACAGTCTTTTCCTCTCCCCCATCCCCATCCCGCCCTCACTTTCTAAGGAAGAAATGATTGAATCTCAAGTGCTTCCATAGGAACTCATTTTCTTGGGCCTTTCCTCAATCCCAGGAAAAACCCTGGACAGGAGGACTGCACTGGCTGTGCATAAGAGGGGGTGGGCACAGTGAGGAGAAGTGGTTAAGGGGGCAGATGGGAAGCCCCGATCGTGAAAAAAATGATATATTGTGTAATAGACTACTGTTAGCAGTTCTTTTTTTTTTTTAATGTGGTATATGGCTGCTTGACCTGTCTCCAGGTATTTGAGGAAGAGATCTTTGTGTCTTTGAGGCAAGAAAACAACCTTTAATGTCATGCTGTGGGGGGGCTAGGAAAAGGAAAAAAAATCAGGCAGCGTTTATGTCCCCTAGGGTGCCTCTAGCAGGTATTGGGGACAGAGGAGGACATCAGAGCCAGCTCACTCTCCCTAAGCACTTTCCCGTTATTGCCTCTTCAGGGTGAAAACTATCCCAGCCCAAACCTCTGGAGGAAAGCGATACCCCCTTCCCTTGCCCTGCAGCCTCGCAGGACAGAACACCTTGTTCCTCCCGGAGAGAAGGTTGCTATGACTGTTCTCTTCCACGTCAGGCTCGTGGCCCACCCTTGTTTCTAGCGGCAGGACAAAGAGCCAGAGCAGAGTGACCTAGGCTGGGGGTTGGCTTTTGAGCAGGGGTTCTTCACGAACCTTGCAAGGGGGTAAGGGTAGGGATGTGGGTCTCAAGGGGACTGACCTCAAAGTGGAGCCACCTCTGGGTGGTGAGGAGGATGCGAGCACCACACTCCACCACGTGCCCCAGACGGACCTGGAACTGGTTGCCGAGCATCACAGGGCCTCGGCTTCTGAAATCGGTTAGTGGATAGATGATAGATAAATAGACGATAGATAGATAGATAGATAGATAGATAGATAGATAGATAGATAGATAGATAGATAGATAGATAGATAGCACCTCCTTCATATCCTTGTTTTGAGGTTTAAGGGGAGTAAGGTATGCAGAATACCCAGGCCAGGCCTGGCACTGGAATGTCTTACTAAATGAAAGCTGCCAAAAGCGTGGATGTTTCTGTAGTAGGTATTGGAACAGCACATGTAGTCTACTTCCAGAACTCAGCTGTGTCTGAAGTGTCCCGTTACTTGGTTATTTTTTTTAAAAAATCAAAAGAAACCCAACTCTAATCCCCCATCCCATCAGGCTTTCAGGAAAGTCCCTTTCAGTTATTTCTCCAGTTCGTCCGTGTGCAGGTTTCACAGAGTGCCCACGCCCTGGAGATACCACTATGGAGGCTTGGGCCTGGTCTGGACTCAGGTGAGCACCTGTGACCTTGACCTGCTGACCCTGCACTTCCGTGCCTCCCAGGGGGCAGGAGTCCCAGGCTAGGCCTCCACACCTGGGGCCCGCCTTCCTGAGCCCACCATGAAGCTCTCTCCCCTGCATCCTTCCATGCCCTGCCCGGGTCTCTGTGTGATCCCAGGGATCTGCAAGGGACTATCTCTAGGGTCCCATCACTCACCAATCTGCCCATCTCCCTCTGCTGAAGAAAATCCTGCTTATTTCCCCAAAGTCAGACCCCTTACTCAGTAGGCCTGCTAAGCACCCCCTCCATCTGGTCTTCAATTTGCTAAGATCTTTCTTAAAAGAGAGAAGGACAGGCTGGCTTTGGATAGCTTCTGCGTTTACTTTTTTTTTTTTTTTTTTTTACAGATACTTATTTATTTGTTTATTTTAGAGGGAGGGAGGGAGGGAGCATGAGCAGAGGGAGGGGCAGAGGGACAGGGAAAGAGAGAATCTCCAGCAGTCTCCTCACTGAGCACAGAGCTCACCGCCCAAGATCAAGACCTGAGCCGAAATCAAGAGTCAGACGCCTAACTGACTGAGGCAGCCGGGCGCCCCTGGACAGCTTTTAGCTCAGTGTCACAAACTCCCCCACAGCTGGGAGATGGAGAAGGGGGAGGGTTGTAAGAGAGTGGAATTTATACTCATATTTACTTACTTATTCAAGAAATCTCTTCTCCGTGTCGATGCCTCTCTAGTCCCTGAGATTCATGGGTGAACAAGTTCCCTCCCTCCTGAGGCTCCCATCCGCATGTGTGTGGGGAGGGGGGATTCAGATCATAAGTGCATAAACAGACGTAGAAGGTGATTTTGCCTAGTGTTAAAATGCTGGAAAGAGAATAAAAGAAAATAATAGGACAGAGAATAGGGCAGGAGAGTTAACATTTGGTTCGGTGGTTGAGGAAGGCTTCTTCCGGGAGGTGATGGCTGAACTGAGCGTCACACGCTAGGAAGCCAGCCAGCTGAAGATGTGGGCGCGAGTGGTCTGGGGGCAGGGAACACCTTGCAGTCGGAAGGAGCTTGGCGTGTTATAGAAATGTCAGCAAGATGGCAGTACGAGATGGGGCCAGAGAAGTATGCAAAGACCTGATCATGACCTCTCAGGCCATGGCAGGGAGTATAGATAGTATTTTAAGTCCATTGGGAAGCCCTTAGGATTGGAAGCAGAGTGGTCACGTAATCTGATCATCTGATCGATATTTTTAAAAGATAACTTTGCCGGCTGGACAGAGAAAGGTTTGTGCGGGGGCAAGAGAGGAAGCAGGAGGTCAGCGGGGGTCAGCGGAGACCGGGGCTCCCAGGCCGCAGCAGGAGAAGGTTGTCCCTCCAAGAAGACTGCCGTCACCATTGGTGTTTTGATATTGCCTGCAAAAGCAGTGGGGCTCCTTTTCCCGCTTCCAGTAAATGTTTTAATTATACTCTGCCTTATTTCCCTTTTTATTTAGGAATAAACATATGCAGCTTCCCACCAAGTTATTCGTCGCGGTCAGATTAATGTGTGTTTATGAGCACAAGAGTACTGTCCTGACGTGCTCTTTCTTTTTCCCAACTTCCATTCCTGTTGGGAGCCTCACCCACTCTTCTCCCACCTCTCTCTTCTTTTTTTCTTCTTGTCAGGCTTGCCTTGGGGCAAATCCTGTCCCCATTTTTGTGTTCATTCCTCTTTGTACTGTTAAAAGGTAAACTGAGGCATATTAAAATCTTGAAGAGTTTATTTGGGCAAAAACGCACTGGAATCAGGCAGCTCCAGACCAGAAGTGGTTATGAGCGCTCAGGGCCAGGAGCCAAGGAAAGACTTAGAGAAGCTGCAGAAGCAAAGAGGAGGGTGTTTGATGGGCTGTAGCGCGAAGCCTACATGGCGGTTTGTGATTGGTTGTCCCTCAGTTTCATAGCCTTGCTGCAGTTGCAGGCTTAGATTCTGGTTTGCTTGCTTACTTAGGCCACCGGGGTGTTAGGGCCGCCTCAGTGTAATGTCTCCTTGTTCAATTCATTTAACAGGACCCTTTCCTGTTCTGCAGCAAGGACGAACATCAAAGTCTAAATAAAGACGGCTACAATAAAAATCAGTCATACTTAGAAGCATGCATTTCTTTCTTTCTTTCTTTTTTTTTTTTTAAAGATTTGTTTATTTGAGAGAGAGAGAGAGAGAAGCTCAAGCAGGAGCAGGGGAGGGGCAGAGGAAGAGGGAAATCTCAAGCAGACTCCCTACTGAGCATGGAGCCTGTCATAGCAGTGCTCAATCTTACTACCCTGAGATCATACTGAGCCGACGTGACCACTTAACTGACTGAGCCACCCCGGCACCCCCATAAGCATGCATTTCTTATGCACTTACTGTATGTCAGGTACCCAGCTAAAAATTTGCCTCATTCGATTCTCATGACTATCCTATGAAGTGGGTATTTCTACTGTGCCCATTTTACAGGTAAAGAAGAGCTCTGGGAAACTAAGCAGCTTTCCCCAGGTCTCATGCTGGAGTGAGAGGCAGACCCAGCATTCAGACCCAGACCATTTGATTGGTAAACCACCTCACCCCTGCCTGCCCCATGGTTAGCTGGGTTAGCTGACCCAGTCTGACATCAGAAGGATGTAGAACTATGGGAGCATAGACTACATCCAGTTCCTTTCTCTGTACCTAAGTGAAGCCAACAGCATGCAAATTCAAGTTCTAATGCAAATAAGCACCTATTTGTTTTCTGAGTGTAGCCATTCAGGCATTTTCTTTAGCAAGTCTATGGCTCTGAGGGTAAGGCCAGGCCTTGATTGAATGTGATGTGGCTGTCAGTCCAGATTTGTGCTTACAGATGTGTGCTGGTCCCTGGAGGCCACGTGACCCTTGGATGCAGCCCAGCACGGACTCCTGCGCCCTGCATCTCCCCTCCAAGAGCACAGAGCGGGTGCAGCTGCTAGGCCCGTCTAGCCTAATGACTGTCTTCATTTTCATGCCTGGCCATTGTGAATGACATTTGGCCATCACACACACCCTAAGTAGAATTAGGATGTACTGGAAAATGTGACTTCTGCATAGGAAGTTACAAATCCAAAACTTGCCATCTGGATCTTAGGTCATCTTACACAATAGGACAGCCTCTCAAGACAGCGCATTTTGGGGGCAGCGTGGCAACATCATCTGCGGCTCTCTTCCTCTCCGTCCTTCCTGTCCCCAGCTGCTGAGGCCAGCTCTGTAGCTTGGGTGGAGTAGGAGATGGCTCAGTACATGAAGAAGCTATGGCTGGCCCTTCCTTGTTCTCACACTGTGAGCACTGACAGACCGGGACACTTCTCGCTGTCTTTGCTGATACTGCAGCGAAGGCTTCTTTTCCCTTCTTGGAAACCCTGATGAAACCATCTCCCAGTGTCCTCCTTGCGTCTCATTCTCTGCAAAGACAGCCCTTTAATTGTTTCGTGAATGTTGTGAAGGCTGGTACAGTTTCCCCGAGGATGGCAAGTCAGGAGGTGGTAAGCATGCACCCTCTGACTGTTACCATCACTACTACCAGTGCTGTCCCTACCGGTGCAGAAGGAAAGGGCGACTCAGGAGACAAGCTGACCAAAGTAAAGCCCTTTTGATTGTAGGCTGACCCTTAACCTGGAAGATAGCAGGTCATAAAAAGAGTCACAAGATCCGACTCACAGGAGACCATGAGACCTCACTCCCTCTGACAGTAAAAGCCCCAAGAGTTGGACATTCGTAAAAATTGTTCCTGGTGAGGAGCTCCACAACCCTAAGACAGTGGAAAAACTAACTGCTCAACATAAATGATGAGCCCCAAGTGAAAGAGT